CAAGCTCAAGTCCGACAGCATCACGTCCTCATAGGTCCTTAGACAACTGAAGAGCCATGCAAGTTCTCCAGTATCAAAGATTGCACAAAACATATCAAAACATCTCATTTCTCTTCGCCATTTACTTATCTTCTACACAAAACAGTGTCAAGTTCACGTTTGAACTTTGATCTGCAAAACAGGCGCCACTTGCCAAACAGCTTCACCTCTGTGCTCGACATCGCTTCACCTCTTGGGAACCCTAACCTTGTCTCAGCTTGAGCCTGGCATTGAGCGCATTCATCACTCAGAACCCTCCAAAGCCGCGTTCCGGTTCGCTGCATGAGTTCCCTCACCGAGGGAACACATGCGTCACGTCGGACTCGCTACTGGTTGAAGAAGATTGTTTTGGGGAGCATTCTTGCACTGGTCTGTCTTTCAAACAACTTTGGCCATGGACCTGCGGCAGTGCCTGCCCGGATCCATGTTTCTAGGCGGCGATCTTCACCAATGTGGATCCCAGCTTCAACAAAAAGGACATCAAAAACAAACGTGCCCGAAAAACAACCGCAATGATGCTCTCTTTGGGGATCCTCATCTCTTTGGGTGGATCGGTTGGCAGATCTGTGCATCAGGATGAGCTCGAATCGCTGGATGAGGACGAGGAAGAGGACGAATCTGAGCTATCCTTGGATAATACTGGAAGCTCCTCTGAAATGATCGGAATTGCTGTGGATTCTTCAAACTAATCTGAAGAGATGCGGATCACAGAAAAGGTCTCTTCAGCGTGCAGGCAAAGGATCTGAAGAGGACGAAGACTTCTTTCTCTTCTTCCTCAAAATCGGAATGACACATAATGACACCAAGTCAGCATTGGTTCATGGCTACCTGTCAACAAACGTTTGTTTTCTCGTCTGTGGTCTTCTCCGAGGGACTTCTTTTGCTTCTTCTTTTTCTTTTTATCCTTTTCTTTTTTCTTCTTCTTGTCTTTCTTGTCTTTCTTTCCTGCACAGGACCGGTCAAACACAAAAGAAAGGAACACGCGAACATGGCAAACGAAAAGCGAGCTCGATGAAAAGCTCCGAGCCCGCAGAAAAGGCCTTTCTTTTTCTTTTCCTTCTTTGGCTTCTTCTCGCCTCGCGAGTTTGTTTGGCCTTGTTCGTCTAATATGGGGCCAGGCTTGTGAGTGAATCGGAACATCCTTTGGATCCTGTGGTCCACCTGTGGTCCACATCTTTCTTGTCGCCTTTTAGACATTAACTATTGAACATTGAACCTCATGATCTCATCGTTCACTCTTTGCCTAAATGATGTTGCATCTCGTTTAACCGCGCAAGCAGCCGCGGAGAGAGCAGCCATTGCGAGGTAGATCAACATGAAGAGAGCTGGGACAGGAACGGGAGTCGGACTCCACCGTTCAGTCATATCAAGAAAGTTTCCATGCTAGAATACACTGCTGCTGTCTTCGGCTACACAACTGAAACTCTTCAGGACAAAATCCACGTCACCTGAAGTTTGACTATAAACGAGGTGAAGGAGAGTAGTCAAGAGTATAGTTTGTTAAGAGTAATTATGGCTATTTCAACATGCCACACTTCCCATCTGCGTGCCTTTCTCCAGCAACTTCTTCTGCCTTTTCTCAGCTTGCTTTTGCTCCTTAATCTCCTCATGCACACGTTGATGCGGAAAAAAAAGGAAACGCTTGTTGAGCGAGTCCGTTTGGTCGTTTGCGCAGGCATCATACGCCCCAGCCACATCACCTTCCGTTTGGTGATCTATTTTGTTCCGTGTCCCCACCTGCATCTTTAGGAGTGCTTCCTCCTGCTGTTTTCTGAAGGCCTTAGGGCAGCAGAGCCCGAGCAGCAGCTGGGGGGGCCAACAGCGGGGGGTTGGTCTGGAGGAAGATGCAGGATGAGTTGTCTGGAACCTCTGCGCTCTTAGTGCAACACACTTCCTTCTTTCGTACAGGGCAAACAACTCCGGTTGCTCATGCGTCTCTATGATTGTCCTTTGGGTCTCACCCTGTTCAACAGGAGCAAGGACGCTACTAGGGGCTCCTGGCCTTACTACTAGGAACAAGAACGCTACTAGTAACAAAGGGCACGGCTACGAACGGAGCGTCCGGACACTAGAGAGATGTGCTGCTATCATCTCTGCTCTTCAGAAATCGACACTTCTGACGAGGCTCGTCCACATCGCCTCTCTTCGTCACCTGGAACCGTGACGTTCGGTCGCTTCATCGAGGTCGACCGGAACCGTTCGGTCAGGCGCTTGACTCTTCGCTCTTCGCTCGCTTTGTGGAGCGAATGAAGCAGTGAAAGATCTGCGTTTGACTCGCACTGACGAATGACGAATGAAGACGAATGAAGAAGTGCTACATTGAGAAAGGAAAACATCGTGAAACTCTCGATCTTAAAGCAGGAAATCAGAAGGGTTTGGGGTTTAGGGTGCTACTGCAGGGTATACCTAAATAGATCATACTTAATATGAATCATAAATGGTGCCATGTTGATGGTCTTAAAGAGATTTGCTAGCCCTTTAGCATCTTTCGCTATGTGGGCCTTGCACATTTCAATTTGGTGAGTATATTATCGTTTTCCACGTTTTGAACCTTTCTTATGTTAAAGGCTGTTTTCACAATGCGGCAGACTTTTTGGACGTGGAAGCAGATAGGCTCACGATGCAATGAAGGCCTAAGCCGAGTCAGAAGAAGAAGAGGAGGAAGAAGAAGACGAAGACTCCAGCTGCACATCAAGGAGGTCGCGTTGCCTCTTTCGCCGCTCCTTTCAGCTGTCCAGATCAAGGCATCCGAGGGATCCGTCTGCTCCATCGGGTAGCAACCGGACATGCTTTCCAGGTTCAGCCTCGTGAGCTTTGGCAAGCAATTCGGGGTCCTTCTTTGGGATCGGCCAGCAGATGCTTCAAGAAGAGGCACAGACCAGCCATGTCTTGAGCTTGTTTGGAAGACATGTTTCAGATACAAGTGGGGCACTGGTTTCGTAGCACAGGTTCGTCTACATTTACGTTGGTTATCGTTTAGGCTATCATTTGACTAAAGCTACATTTCGGACAAACCTGTCGCCAAAGTCCGAAGTCAAAAACGGCTTTGGGAAAGGCTACACTAAGCAGAAACGAGGTTCCCTGATGGTCTTAATTGTTAAAATGCTGTACTGCAGCTATGAAACTAAGCTTTCCTGTAAACATGATTATCACATGTTATCGTTTTTGATGAGTGTATTATCGTTTTCCAAGTAAAATGATGTAAAATGCCAATTCTGCAATCCCAATGTCGGGTCCGTTACTAAATAGCTGTCCGTAAATAAATCAGGTTGCTCCAATCCTTCCACCCCAACGGTGCGAACGAACCCTTGCGGTCGAACCGCTCGTTCGCTCGGAACCTGCGTGGGATCGAAGGAGTTCTTGCGCTGCCGCCGCTCTTCCAAGATCTGAGAAGCGTTCTTATCCTCGGGCGTTGGAACGTGAAAATGCCATGGATTCTGATTCGGCTCAGGTCGACAAACATGTTGGAAGATGTTGCCCTATAGTATCCTATCGTCAAGTCGAAAGGTGAGACATATGGGGCCCCCCAAGGCTCCTCAGGTTGGGCTTGCGACATGCTTCGACTTGCTTCGGCCCTTCGAACACATCGACCACGACCACAACCAGAACTCGCTGAACGTCCTCGGCGGCGTCACGGCGACCCGCTGATCGCCCCACCGACCTCTCCGGAACGACGGAACTGGCGGCCCAGTGTCCATCTCGTGCAGGCGTTTGAGCCGCTCTTCTTCTCGAGCGTTGAAGGAGCCCTGGAGCGGAAGAAGAGGCGCCCTGTGGGACTGGGACAGGTCGCTGAGCGGTGGAACTGGACGTAACTGGTGACTGGACCATTTGGAGTCGGCAAGCAGATTGGACTGATGTTAGAATTGATTGAGTCTTGTTTTCAACAGCCAATTTCGGAGCGATCGCCCAGCGATCGTCCTCGCTGTGAGAACATTCAGCACTGGGTGATGTTCAATAACATCTAATTACAATCATCTACACCTAACCGTTCGAAAATAAGCCTCACTTTCTTCAGAGCGGGATATATAACTCGACTACCACTTCCGGACCAGTCTGTTCAGCCCAGCCTTCCCGACCTGACCTGACCTCCCTCACACGACCAACACCCCACCTGAGCTTCCTTCAACTTCCGAATCTCTTCGGGGTCGTCCGTGCCACGATGGACCGTCTCCCGGGACACCTGGGGCAAACCACCGGACCGTTCGGACTTGGGTGATTCCCATCGGTTTCGGACCTCGGTGTTTTTTAAATAGTTGGTCTTTAGAAACAACAAAGAAAAAGAAGTTGTTTCGAACCTTAGGTGTTTTCTGTCTCTTTCTCTTTCAGTCTTTTTCCCATTTGTGACGTGTCCTTCCCTAAAAGACGGCATGAGGATGCGATGCATTTTCGGTGTGTTTTGCTGACTCCTCTCAGGGTCCCTGCGCCCCAGGCAGTTTTGCCTTGCACGGCAGTTGGCAACTGAAACATGTTTGCTGCCATCCTTCGTTTTCGATCAATCCAAGGGGAGATCCGCCCATAGCAGGAGGATGAATCATGGCAAGCGGCAACTCCTGGCAGTCGGATGGCCACTTCGGCAGACAAGAAATGGATGTCACCAAGCACAGGGTTCCGGAAAAAATACACGCTCACCTAAAATCTCGGTCTCCAAGCTGTTGAAGATCTCAACTTAAAATGCCTCAAGACATATGTGCATCTTGTGCATCTTGTGCATCTTGTGCATCGTATTCATAGGCTCGCGCTTCTGAGGGTCTCATCACCCCACAGAACCCAACAGGCCAGGACCCGCAGGATGTTTTCAGGTTTGAGCTTGCCAGGTTTGAGCTGTTACTGTACGTCTTCGTAAGCTTCAAGGTCTCGCTTGTTCAAGAGATGACAAGGTCTGGTCTAACCACAGGAGAATCGCGCGTTGACGGCATTGGGATTGAATGTCCACCATCTAAGACCCAGCATGACGATGGTAGCTGTAGCTGTGGAATGCTGCAGCAATCAAGTGACATGTCGGAGACAGTCGCATCGCGAATAAAGACTCTAAAGGCCATTCCTCCGTGAGGGGTGGTACTTGTGAAATGCTGCCAAAGTCTGTTCTTGCGCATGCGCTCGTGACAGCGCGTCATGTGAGACCATCATGCACTCTGTACATTGAGGCTCTCAAAGAACGTCCACTTTTGGATGCGGGCCAAATGTGTGGCAGCCGTGTATCTGCAAAAAAACAAGAAGAGTTCGGAATCTCCCGCAACAAAAAACAATGAAACGGAGATAAAGATATAATACAATCAATCAATTGATCCTTATAATACTTGATTACTTAATTGCAAAGCCCATCCAGTAATAATGATATTTTGAACCCATCTGATGCCCAAATCCACAAGAGACTTTCCAACTCGAAGGTCGAACGTTCATGCATCCACCGAGCGACCTCATGCGACCTCGTCGGTGAGGTGTTTCGGTCGGCGGAAAACGGCAGCCCATGACGTTGAATTTAGCCTCCCATCCTATCTGAAGAGCCTGAATCATCTGCAGCCAGCTGAAAGAAGCAGGAAAAAGATCAAAAATCATCAAAATACTGAGTCAAACTCTTGAAATGATCCATTTTGTTCATGTCCATTTATATTGACGACTTCTGCCCATGGGCTGACGTTTGCCGCGGTCCTAGGGGATCCTACAAGGTTCTTAGTCGGTCCTACAAGGCTTCAGTCTCCAGGGTCAGCACCAAGCGCCTCAAGGGCATCTTGGGATAGTCACAACGTTTTTGGGCCAACTGACCACCATTGTCACTGTCTTTATCCACACATGGTCACCTTGCATGGCGAAAAAAGGGCACCTTGCTCAAGCTTTGAAACCTGCGAGGCTCAAGAAAAGTGTGCACATCGAGAAAAAACACCGAAAACAAAGAAAAACCTGAGCTGTTGGGCCTGGGAGGGCATGAAGAATCTCTAACAAGTCTTTTTGCAAGTCCTGGGGAAGTTCTCCAATCACTCGCATGCATCGTCCATCGGCCATGAAAGACATGGTGGCCATTCAACAACGTTGTGTGGACCAAAACTGTCAAAGATCGTCAAATCATGCACCGCCGAAGACTCATCTAAGATCTGGGAAAATTGTCCAAGCCCGCGCTTTGTCTCTCTCTCTCTATATATATATATATATATGTGTGGCGGAAGAGTTTGTACCTCAACTGCATCTCACACTTCTTCCATGGTATGACTTGGGTCTATCCTATTACCAGTAACCGTGGATGATGATGGTTCGGTTGCAGGCCTTTCTCTAAAATAGTGATAAGATGTGATAAGTCATAAGATTCATAAGTGTGAACTGACTCTTACAGTCTAATTGATGTTAGTTGGATCATCCTAAGGTATGACACTTCACCTGCTTGCCACTTCACCATACCATCCTACTTCGCCCATCCACGCAGCTCGCAGCTCAGCTCGATCCACGCTCCTCGCCCAGACCTTTGGCACCTTGAACTGCCGATGCGAAGGCCTCCAGTTCCCGGCATCGAACGAGCTCGCGGGAGGGGGCTGATGGAAGTAGCTCCGGCCCCTCCCCACTACAGGTACGACCTCCTACCCGCAGAAGTCTTCTCTGAAAAACGCGAGCGAATGAAGCCAACACAAACATCCTCGGACCCGCCTTGATCTTCTGGCCATCGATGGTCGGGGGATCACAGGCCACAGGGGCCACCGCGGCCACCGTCTCAGGCTCCGGTGGCCTGGGCTTCGTTGGAACCTGGCGTGACGACCCGACCCGGCTCCGCTCCGCGACCGACGTGCGAGGTCTCCACCGGTGGAGGTCGAGCGTTAGACCGTCGGCGATGATGAATCTAAGGTCTAAGGTGGTTCTTCGCTCTTTTCAGCACGTTTAACCGTTTGCACCTCCAACAAACGCCTCGCGAAGAAAAAAAACGAGACGTCTCGCAGTGTGTGTTCGAGCGAGGTTCCGGCTGCCTTTTTCCCCCATGAGCTTTCACGCCTCGTGGGTGTCGGCCAGGGAGCCAAGGCCTGCGGGGCCGGCAATAGACGCATGGGGGCATCGGACATGGGTGCCGGTACCAAAAAATAGCTCATATCGATCTCTTCTTCGACTTAAACGACCATGTTCAGCCCATGTTCAGCCATTTGCTGAGGACTGAACCTGAAGTTCCAGAATGACTGTACGCCAGGCTGTCCCCAGGATTTGAGACCTGTGGAGAAAACACACCTGTGGTCACCAGTGCGCAAAAACAAATGTCAAGTCGTACTTTGGAGTCGACTCAACATGAGCATCAACTCAGTGTGCCCACCGTTGATTCAAGATTCCAAGCGGCATGAACTTGGTTGAGATCCACACAACATCACGCATCCGAAAAGTGCTCCCTGTGCCAAACCGCGCTTCTGGGTGCCACTATGTTCACGTTGATGTTGCAACCAAACTACAGGTGTGTGGAGGTCCGAAGCTCACGCAACATTCTTCTGCGAGCGACTAGCAACTTTCGACCATTTTCAACTGTTCCAAGTTGTTCTTAGACATGCAGCAAGCTTCAACGTCATCTGCGCCGTCTGGAGATACGAACTCTGCTGCAGCAAAACATGCAAAAGCAGCAAAGTGGCAAAGCAAATGAGATACTGTGGATTACTGTGGGAGCGTCTTCGACTTGCAAACCCCAAGGCAAGTACGCGCGACCACCCAGCACGTCGGTATTCGACCAGCAATGGCATCTCCCAACAAGTTTGCAGATTTGCAGACCTTCCAGAAACCAGAAACACCAACCGTGGCACCGAAACCCATAAGAACCCCAAGCAGTTCGGTGCCATGGGTCTCACATTTCTCAAGCGCCGAGCCGCTGGACCACGCATTGGCAGATGATGCATTGGCAGTTGTTCTTCTCTCTACAGCCTACTGAAAGTGGTCGCCCACTGGTCCGTGGATGTGTTTAGGACACCCGTCAATCCAGGTCTCCAGGTCTTGTTTTTTTTCTGAGGCCTTCACAGCCCAAGACGCATTGGAGATCAAAGAATGACTCTTGTCGCACCTCAGGACTCGTCATGAACCTTCCCCTTCGCCCTTCATGTCCCTTAAGCTCCCTACACGATGCTCTCGGAGTCGTACAACTCCTGGCCAGCTTCCGAACTCCAGACACGCAACCAGAACGCTACTACGACCAACAGCCTCTCGCTAAGCCTCTCAAGAGTGCTTTCTGTACTGGCGCCATGGAAAAAAAAAACACCCAGCACACACCCGGAAAGAAGAACTCCCTCCTCTGACATGGCTGAAGCTTGCCGTTTCGGAGGCGACCTCAGATTCCGGCCGCGGGGCCGAACTGGAACCCGACCAAAGCCCTCGGTGTTCGCGGTGTTCGGTCTCCCGGGTGCCGAGCTGAAGCGTCACCTGGCAGAGGAACGCGCCGATGTGAGACGGGAATCATATGCCCTGTGCCCTTCGAGATGACCAAGGAGTCGTCAGGTCATCATATAGATGTCATCAAACCATGGGACATTGGGTCATGCCCAAGGAGTTGTTTGACGGAGCTGTTTGTCTTCATGCCCATGGGGTTCTTCGAAGGCAACGAACTACCACTCCTCAGGTTAAGCTGATAGATCCCTGCATGTTCTCTCAACGAGAACAAACGCGCCTCCATAATTCCTTCAGCTTTGGAAGGATAAGAGTTGCATGAGCCGCCAATCTTAGAAATACAAGCGCGGCTGTGCAAGGCGAATCAAAATCATTCCATGCAGGAACACCATGCATCTCAAACACCAAGCTTTGGATCTGTGCCATCCAATATCTGAGTGCCCTATGTGCCGTGCACATGACGCCCTGTGCATTTGAGAATGGGCGTCTGGAACGCCAAGATCCTGCGACGTCGAGAAACGTTGATCGAGACGTCGAGAGACGTAGCGGCCCGGTCGGTCCCGGCGTCACACAGAGCGATCGGCGCGATCAGCGCAGCAGACATGGCATCCGTGAATCCACCAATAAAGGTGGCAAGTGGCAAAGTCCGTGCAAACCCTGTGGCATGGCCATGTTTGCTTCATCCTTCTTTATCCTTTCTGAGTGTCCTTCAGGGTTTTCTCGTTCTCGTCATCCTGAATGGCCTGAGCTAGAGCCATGTTTGCCATTCTTTGCCTCATGGTGGAAGGGAACCCAGTCACCTGCTGCTAAACCATGACACCTCCTCCAGAAAGGCCCTCAGCTCCGCCACCTCCTCATAAACACTATAGCCAGCCTCAAGCGGCGAAGAAAACGCTTGTAATGAAAAGAAAGTTGGTCACCAACAAACTGGTTTCGCTTGCCCAGTGGCAAATACCTCCTGGATTACCCAATAAGAGGGATAAGCACAAGTGAAGAACAATTGCTGCTCACTCTTAGATTTGCTCACTCTTGCATTGCTGTTGCTTGTGTGATCACCGACTCAGTCGGAGACGTTAGCCCGGGGGCTGAGGTCGGGTTTCTTCAAGGCCTCACGAAACCAAATTCACGAAAGCCGAAAAACATGTGGAACTAGCATGTAGATTCCCGTGCCTTCCTCCAAAATCAGATTCCTTGTGATACTTGGGGTGCTGCCACGTGCTGCCATCTAGAATTTCCGTGAATTCTGGTATCTAGCTGAGTCGAGCTGCTAGCTATGAATAACTGGACTCCTTCAGCTCACAGTGTGGGCCTCTTCTGGAGGCTCTACCGCGGCCTCTTTGAGCACGGCCAGGGCCTCCACTCAGTTGCGAAAGGGATTTCCTTGATCTGTCTCAAACTAGAGGGTCCTGAGTCCTAGAGGCTCCCCGCGAGCAACACTGTTGCTATGCAGTCTGTCATTGTTCCAGGGAACCAAGTCAACCAGGTCATTGTTCCACTGAAAAAGGAAGGTTCTCATTGAATGGCACATCACTTTGTACCCGCACCCCTGGCCAAGCACTTGCTTTCATTGGTCTTCGGAATGATAGGTTCAAGTTCAAGTACGCGATTCAGCGCTTGAAATGTAGATATGATATGATGAGAATCATCGATACCTGGCCTCTTTCATAGTGATTGAGTTCTGATAGCTTTGAAGCTTCACAGTCTTGGCATCTTGGTCCTCATCCTTGGCGGTGCGAAGACAGATAGGAGGTGGGAAAAAACGGCCCTTTGCACGCCCTGAAGCTGGATGGATTGAGTTGCTGGACTCAAAAGGGCGATGGAATGCGATGGATAAGTCCATCTCCATCAGCTTCTGGTGGAGGCCAGTCCAACCAAATCCAACAAAATGAACACTTCTTTGATGACATCTGGCCAGTCAAGCCCACATGAACAAGAAAAAAGAACACCAACACCTCCCTCCCTCCACCGTCGGACGCTGTCGGCGGAGCGACCCGCGACCCGCGCTCTCCCGGAGTCCAGGATCGACCAAGCTGGGCAAGAGCTTGGACGTCCCCGAGAGCGATTTCTCGATCTTTCCTGGCTTGGACGATCCGGTCCGGGCCGCCCGTTGAGAAGATCGATCTCTAGAGATGGCAGGCGGACGAAGAAAAGCTGAACCAGCTTCTTGAAGTGCCCAAATTGTGGCTTCTTGACAGTTTCGGATCCAACCTGTATACATGCTTTTTTTTAGAATGCTCCTGAAGCTTCTCCAAGATTTCATGAACGATGAGCTTCCCAGCCTGTCTCCTCCTCTGTGAGCTTTTGCCACTTCGAGGTACCAGCCAAAGAAGCCTGACGCACCGTGCCACCGGCCCATGCCCCCACCGCCGCGCGTAACCACTGCGGCATCCCCCCCCAGTTAGCGGCCTGCAAGGAGGTTCGGGACCTCTCACCGACCTCAGTTGAGACACTTGAGATGGATCCGATCTAGGCCGACTGGCCCTTTTGCGGACTGTGGCCTGGCATGGTGCAGAAGTCTGTCTTTTTGAGATGGCAAATCAATGCGTTTGCATTGAGACGGTTGAACAGCGCCAAAAGGCCTTGCCCAGACTCTTCTTGAGACTCGGCACAAGATATGGGGAGGTTGAGACCCCATTGAGACACAATTTAGACTAAGGCAAGCCAATTCCAAAACATGGATTCGATCTCAACGCTTCTGGAGGTCAAAAGCTGCTTGCATTGTTCCGCGAGGTCCAAAAAGCGTTGCCTCTCTCTGGGCTCAACTCGCAAAGCACTGTAGAGCAACTTCTGCAAACTCAGGGGGCAAATCTCCGGTGGCTCTGGCAGCTTCCGGGCAAATCCCACCTGTGCCATGACTTGAAAGGCAGTATAGTCTTGGAAGGGAACTCGGTTTGCAATCATCTCCCACAAAACCATCCCAAACGAGTAAACGTCCGAGGCTTTGCAGTATCCTTCCGCCCGGAAGACTTCTGGGGCCATATACTGGTAGGTGCCCAAACACCCAACATGGACAGTCCGGCAGAAATCTTCCACCATCGAAGTCTCTTCCACGTCGATGTCCTGGGCAAAGCCAAAGTCCACAATCTTCACGGACAAAGGTTCCCGTGTCTCACGCGCAGAAGCCACCCATGGTAGGCAAGACCAGCGCGCTCGATCGGGTGCTGGTTGATGATTTGACACTAAGATGTTCATGGTCTTGATGTCGCAATGAACGATGTTTAGAGCGTGCATGTAGGCCATGCCATTGCAAATCTCCTTGGCCACATGCAAAATATCTCTGTAGCCGAAGTCACACTCCCGATAGATCGATAGAAACGTCCGCCTCTTCCGCGAATGCAACAGGTCATGCAAGGACTGGCCTGGCACAAGTTCCATCACGATGATGTTGTGAGGAAGACTGTATCCGATGAGGACTGGAAAGTTGGGGTGCTCTTGCAGTCGGTGTAAGATGTGGATCTCATTGTAAAAGCTCACTGGCACCCGCTTTGAAGAGATCTGGTTCGTCAACTCCTTCTTCTCTCGCACACCCTCGGTGGATTTGGCCGCCACCCGGACATTCCTGCAAAGGCCGCTGTACACCCGACTAAAACCTCCCTCACCAATGTAGCCAGTGAGTTGCAGGTCATCCTTGGGAATCTGCAAAAGAGAAAACTTTGCCTTCAAGTCATCTTCTGTCGGCTGAGGCTCCTTCTCCTTTTGCAGGGCTCTCCGGAAAAAGTCGACATTTGCGATGAGAATTCGGTGTCGTGCACTGACCCCAGGCATTTGTGGACACGCACGGCAGCCAGGATCTAATGGAAAAAGCTCTTTGACCAAGTCAGAGTGGTTTTCTGCTATGGAGAGCAAGACATCTCCATTGACTGCATGCTTTTCAAGGCGGCAAGCCAAAGCCGCACCCCCTATTCCAAGACATGCACAAAAATATTGCACTTCACGGACTGTCCACTCAGACATCGACGTAATCCGTGAGCGCCGGACCCGCTCGCGGACCCGCTCCGAACGGCGCGTGGAGCGGAGCCGCTCCTCGTCCGAATGGCTCGAGCTGGGGCTCTGATGGTTCTGGTGACTTGGACTACTCGGCTCACACGAAAAGAGTGGCACCCGTTGCAACGGCTGAAGAGCTTTCGCCTTGCGCCGCCCGTTTTCGCGCCGCTGCCACACCTCCCGGACCAACGTGCCGCAGCTCGTGACCCCCACACCGCCGTGCCGTCCGCCTCGCTTGAAGCGACCGCAGAAGCGCTCGGCGCCGATGAAATCTTTACAGTTTTGGTCGAGATCGGAGAGGTGCAACGAAGGCCTCAGAGTGGAAAAGCGGACTTGTCTGTGTGGTGTGGTGAACGTGTGCACTGGAGACATAGAAGAAGGATGAAGAAGGAAAAAGGATGAAAAAGGATCTACTAAGAGACGCTTCCCCCTTCTCGATCCGTAAGGGAAATCTGTGTGACATCGACTTTTCCCTTCCAAAGGTTTTGCTACTTGCATTCCAACAAACGGCCTGACCACTGAGAGAAATAGTGCATTTTGGAGCCCAGCCGTTTTTCACACAGCTCGTTCTGGGATCCACAAAACGAAACCTGCTTTTTCTTGAATGACCCTTGGAGAAGTGGAGAGAATGGGCCCTTGGCGTCCAAGACACGCTCGTTGAGAATTGGTACATGTCAGAATGCCGAGCCCTTCTCGATGGCCATTGCACCATTCACCTTCGTATCGTTCGCCGAAGTGTCTGAGCTCAACTCCCCAGCCATCGCGGATCTTCTGATTCCTCGCTGAGGAACAGGGGATGTACCGGGGATCTACCAGATCGACATGTTCCAACCGCTTGGAGGAAAGAAGAAAAAGAAGAAGCAGGAGGAAGAGGAAGAAGAAGAAAGGAAAAAAGAAGAGAAGAAGGAACGAAAGGGAACAAGATCTTGCTCTCTTTGCTTTTAAGACCCCAAACCTCTTGCCAGTATAGTACTCCCCCACATAGATATCACCGTCACTGAAGAAGATGGTGCCAAACTCACGCGGCCGCCGCGAACCCGACCACGAGGCCATCTTCGCCGGCCCCGAGGCGGGTGCCATGGTGGTTTCGGAGGCGGCGTCAAGTGGTGAGATAAATGAGTTGATATGAGGATCGAACCATTTTTTCTTTCGATATGAAACCATGGACATCATCCGTCATCACCTGTCACTTCAAAAGTTCATGTAACATGATAACATGTAAACCGTGAACTAATGCCCTGACTATCCTCATGGCGCATCTTCTTTTGCAGAAATTCTGTGTTGAACCGTCCTGCCCCCATCATTGGATTTTACGGCTCCAGTGGGACCGGGTTCACGTCCGTAGTCCTTCACAGAACTCAACCGGCCACAGTCAAGTGTGTGGCCGTTGCCACATTGAGCCAAAACAGCAGCGCTCACGCACCCACACATTCAAAGATTGACAAAACAGCAGAAAATACTTGCACATGACTCCGTGAGACTCCTGTTGAATATGCATGTCCAAAGTCCTCCATTAGCACACAAAGCCTTAAACTTTGCTTCTCCACAGCCCTTTATTGTGTTTCGATGCTTTTCTCCTGTCCATTCTGAGCTCCAAGAAGCAATCGAAACAAAGCCCAACACCTCGAAGCAAAGCCCTCGCGTACCGTTCCGCAGGCGCTGATCCGCGGCCACCAGTAGGCTCTCCGCGGGCAACGAGGCGAAGGAGGCGTCACACATGGCACCGGATTTAGAGCGACATAGCAAGAAGCTACGTTCCTAGTAGTAGTTTCTAGCTACGTTCCTAGCGATGCACTTGTTCCGTTCGTAGCGATGCACCTTGCTATGGCAGGAAGTGGTTGCTCTGACAGTTCATCGAAGTGCACTCCACAGAACGCCACCGTACATAGAAGTAGATCATTCGGAATCGACTCCACGCAAGAGGATTTATAAACTCTGACTCACTAGTACATGGAAGTGGAAAATGGTCCCTTGGAAGACTACTTTCCTTTACAAACGGATGGCTTTCCACTTCCATGTTAGTGAGTCGGAGTGTAGGAATTTGGCATGAGTGCAGACGTTGCTTGTGTATTTTCTGGGTTTTGCTGCTCTGGCCTGTGATACTGTTAGCTTGTATATAAGCAGCACTAGTGAAACGCATCAGCTTTGGTGTTTTCAACTCGGGTATGCTCCGTTCAACTGGTGTTTTCAACTGTGAACCAAACCTTGCTCAACGCATCCTACGAATGGACTCTACGAACGGGGCTCCTGGCCTCGCTACGAACGGAGCGATCGGATTTTCGGGTGGGAGGTCCCTTCCAGGTCTTCGCTGGAAGAACGACACTGGTAATGCCTGTTTGTGCATGACACTGATTGCACAGCTTGCTCGCACATCCTTTTCACGGCCAATGTGGACTTGCGGACGCATAAAAGAGCAAAGGAGTCTTGTTTCAAGCTCAAAGATGAAACAGCTCCACCCTGCACCCGACCGGGCAGAATTGCCTTGAACATAGCCCTTGGCACCGCATGTCATGGCAATATCGATGGCCTCCACCCTAGTAGCGATGGCCTCCAACCTAATAGGAATGGCCTCCAACCTCGTATCGCTACCATTTCTTCTTTGGTAACTCCACCGGTCTGCTTCAAACGCTTCAGTTCTTCTTCGCCGTCTCCACATCACCTGGCCAGCCAGAACGGCGTTGGTGGGCCGTTTGGAGGTCTGCCAAAAGCCCAAAGAATCTCTTGTGGAGGTCTGAAAACCAGTAGAACTTGCACCAGAGTAAATCCCACGAGAATTTCCACAAGTGAAGAAGTGGATGACCTCTATCCGACGCGCCATCAACCCATACAGTTGTCAACCACTCAATGCGAGTGCCTTCAGATTCCGGACCATAGGAGGCCGACCAAAGCTCTCGAAGCTCCCCCTGCGAAACAAGATGGATCGAAGCCCGAAACATGAACAGAAGAAGAGTAGCGATGACCTCCAACCAAATAGGAATGGCCTCCACCCTAATAGCGGAGGTCTTGAAGAAAGTAGACGTTGGCGACGCTGAAGAGGCATATTTCTAGGTCCCAAGCTTCGCAACGTGGAAGCTATTTACCTCAATTTCCAGCACCTAGAAACTCGGTCACAAGCTAGTAGTAACAGGTGCCACGCTAGTAGTAACAAGAAGCTATTAGAAACTCGGTCACTGTTGTTCATCTTTCATCCCATGTCACCTACCCCATCCTGGCATATCCTGGCCACCTACCTGGTGGCCACCTACCCCGATCCTCGCCACCGCAATCACTGGCCTTTCGAAGCGCGATCAAGCAGGTCGGCACCTCAAGCGATCGCCCCACATCGCTCGGGTGGCGGGTCGTTCGGCGAAGATCTTCGGTGTTCAGCTGCATCGGCACGTGTCGCCTTGACCGCCAGAGAAGGCGTGGCCTTGAGGCCAGGGCCAGGGTGCCAGGCACCAAAAACAACAGAGCTGGCTGGCCATGTTGCATCAAGTAGAGGGACCTGAGTCGCATCGTGAAGAATCCAAAGGCGGGGTTTTGTGTTGGCTGTGTTGAGACACTTCAGCACCCAATTGAAGTAAATGACTTATGGCCACCGTCAACAAATGTTCAAGCTAACACTTCTCTGACAGGAGCTGTGATTGTCCAAGTCCCCTGCACAAACGTGGCAAGCAACCCAATAGCATAGCCTATCACGCCTGCCAAGAAATACCTGTCAAAGCGAATCGAAAGCTGCGTGTTCTTCCAATTTCGATGCTGTGTGATCTAGGAATACCCGTCTTGCTTGACAGCGCAAGGCAACAAATCCGTCTCGGCCAACCAATGAAACCCAGAGCTATACTAGCAAGAATCAAGAGGCTACTAGGTGGAGGCCATCGCTACTAGTAACAAGGATGCTACAAACGGGTCTCCTGGCCGTACTACGTTCGGAGCGATCGGACGCTACGTTCGGAGCAAAGGCCATCGCTACGACGTTCGATGTAACAAGAAGAAACGGTTCGGAACGAGGACGTGCACATCCCGGTGTTGCACGTCACTCAGCCCCGCACCCGCGGCATCGCCGGTGCTTCCTCACCAGGTCATGACGCCTTGGAGTAGGGGACAGAAACCCCAAAGGTCATGGGGCAAACACTGGTTTGCCACACAGCAAACTCTCAGGAAGAGGCAAAAGCAAAGAAATCAGCAACCCAGGGATGGCAATATCGCCCAAGCCCAGAATCTGGCGCAGAAATAAGAAACGAACCCATGACAAATGAGCTCCCTGCCATCATTGTCTTGGAAGAACAATTACAGGATGCATGTTTCATGTGCTTAGTATTTGGCTTTATTTAGCCATATTATCTGGAACATGTCGCCTCTGCTCTTCACTGTAGCTTCAATCAAAAGCTGTGATCCGACAGGATCCTGCGCTCAAGTTGTTGATTGCACCACACGAACCGAAGATCGTCCACTTCAAGGGGCGCGCAGATTGAGGCTCCAGAGAAAAAGCGAGTGCCGCGTTTTGGTGTCGCGTGGTCGAAAGTGCCTTGAACTGACCGGGCAAATCGCCCTGAAGTGCCGGGATCTTCAACACCATGGGCCTTGGACACAGCAGAGGATCTCATTCCCGGTCGTGCGCCCCCCCAGGTCGGGCGGAACAGCCATGTAGCTGTGACTGGAACCAACTGAGCTTCTTACACCGCTTGACCAGTGCCACCTCCCGTCGCAACCTCCGGATGCCGGACGATCGAGCTGTGCCAAGATAAGACTGGTTGCGGTTGAAGACCCTGTTCATCCCTGTGTTTCTTTCCCCTCTCTCTCTCTCTCTCTCTATGGGTGCCTCGATCATTACTGACTTCTTGAAGATCAGCGGTGAGAGGAAGACCCAGAAGATGTCGAAGAAGAAGGTGCAAATCAGTAGCAAACAGCCGACCTGAGGCAAAAAAGGCCTCCTCTATATAGATGTTCTGGATTGAATCAAAAATCTGCGAGTCCAAAATGCTTGTTCAAAGGTCTGTAAAGATAGAATTAAATGCTTCTAACAACCCTCTTGAAGGCTGGTTGCGGCCAAAACACCTTCAGATTAGGCAAACGCACGGTTCTTTGCAATGTCAAGAGAAATGCGATCGCAATAATGTCCTGGAAAAGCCAACCTCAACCGCTGCCGGCAAGACAGCTATTTCAAAAAGGTCCTGGACTCATCTCAAAAGAGCCTTTGGCCTCTCTTCTTAACAATTATTAAACGAGCAAGGCTATGCTACTACCGACCAAGGTTGGCATCAACGATCTAGGGCTTCTGCCGATTGTATCATTGTTCCGCCATATGAGGAAGCTAACTGCCAGGGCCTTGGTGCAATTTGCAAACCTAGGGACTCCGGGCTCCCTTTCGTAAGTTCGCTCAAGAGGCCCTTTAATTATTCCAACCTACTGGGATGGCCTCCAACCTAGCAACAGCCCTTCATTCCTTCTTACTTCCTGCTTCAAACCCCATGCTTGGACGCCAACGCCAGTCACAACGGCGACCAACGCCAACGGCGGACCACGGTCGCCCTGTCTCTTGGGTCGAGTGGCCGCTCCGATGCTCTCAGAAAAGACGTCCGTCCAGGTATGCTCCTCCGGTCCGGTGCTTCCGTTCGTCAAACCAGTGCGTCTTCCTCAACCGGTTTTTCGTGTGTTCGTGTTTTGGGCGATTTTTGTTCGATCTAACCATGGTTTTCGGTTTGCATTGAAAGCCTTTGGAACACTTCTGAAATGAAGGACCCGCCAAGTCGGTCCCTCTCAATGCCGATCATGTCCGCGAGGCTCTGTGGAAGGACACATGCCTCTTCCAGGGTGAGTGTGCAGAATGGCTGGATGGGGAGTAGTTTCAAAGGTGTCTGGAGATCATCATTCTCTGCAATATCACTCTTCCACACATCATCCATGCCACAAATATATTATCTCAAATACTTCTGGCAAGGCTTCAATCCTGCGACTTCCTGCCACGTCTGGACGTTCAACCTTCAACCCTTTGTCGACATGCCTTCTTCTTCCTCAAAGCTGGCAAGCACGAGGCAAAGGCTGGTTCCAACAAAACGGCCGTCGCGGACCTCATCGCTTGGCGCACGCGCAGGAAATAAGACGGCGACTTCACCGCAGCACGAGCACGTACTAGCTATGTTCATGACGACCGTGACCGAAATCAGTGAATCGATATCAGGGAACCTCCCGAAATGGTCGGAAACAAGCCAATCGGCCTGTTGAAAAGGCCAACTTTGATCCATGACGTGCAAGCCAATGGATCCAATGGCAAAGAAAGGTTCTTTCAGCGGTTTTCGTTCATGGACATTATATTCGCGATACTCTGATGTTAAAATGTGAGGCAATGACACTGCACCGCAGGCGAAAACCGCAAGCAGCACCCAGATCAAGTACCTCCAGCAATGGACAGGCTTCACGTTCAAGCTTTGAAAGGCTTGAAAGTTGGAATCAAGGCCACATTGCTAACCCCTCGGTCGGTGAGGGTTGTTGTTTGTCCTTTCCGCTTGGACAGTCACTTCATGAAGAAGTAGAGGACCGTCAACAGCAGCGATCCAAAAAGCACGAAGTGCAAGCCACTGGATTCCTCGAAGCGGAGCTGAACTCATGAGCGGATCCAATGGATCAGATCAAAGGTCCAAGAGCTTTCAACCTCATCGCCCATATCTTACTCTGAAAAGGCTTCTCCCCACTCCAATGTATTTTTCTCCGGCCTTGACAAGAACACTCCTGTATGAACAATTTGTTGCGCTCCATGAACTGAGGTATTGGACATGTCACTGCCCCAGAAAATAGTACGCAAGAGAAGAAGATTTCTTGTTACAACGCTGTTTCAATAGGTCAAAAAAGTCTTCTGAAGTTCTGTTGACACCCACGACTACCTCTGACTACCCTATCCCACTACCTACCAAGGCCGGCCAGCGTCCCTCGCACCTCAACGGCCACGATCTCCTCTTGGCGCCCCTGGCTGTCCAGGTGGGCTGAACAAACGGGATCCCTCTGAAAACGGGATCTCTCGTCTCTTGGTTCCAGTGTCACAACATGACAACCATCAAAGATCTTTTAGGAGCAAGGGCATCGCTATGAACGGGGCTCCTCGCATCGCGACTCGAACGGAGCAAAGACGCTACAAACGGGGCTCCTGGCCGTACTACTAGGAGCAATGTTCGCTACTAGACTGCCGCAGAGGAGTTATGGATCGGATGAGTGAAAACCCTTTTAATATGTCGTGCTTTCGCTACCTCTCATCAGACCCTTTGGACAGTCCGCCAGCCACGCCTCAGAGCTTCCTGCGGGCTGTGGTGATCTCAAATCCTGCAAGTGAGTGCAGAGCTTTCAATTTAGACATGCCAGATTGGGAAGGGAAGGGAAGGGAAGGGCCAGGAAGGCCATAGGCTAGATCTTGGACTTCACGGCTCTCTAGACTCTAGAGAAACAAAAACGTCGGACGTCGGCCATGGCTTACAAAAAGCTTTACAAAAAATAAAAAGTGTCTTCGTTTTCTTCTTTGGCTTCACCTTTGAGCTTTGAGCCCCCCCAGCCGTCTGTTCCCGGTCCTCGACGCCATACCAGGCTCCTAGAGCAACCAACGTCACGGCTAAGATGCCAGTGAACACCTGAACGCCCGGCCATACGAATGATGTGAATTTCAACTGATTCGGTCGACTTCTCTGTAGCTCAGTTGCCGAGGAAAAAGCAGGTCTACCCTTACGACTATCAGCGCTGTTCCATTACGACCTACCAGTCTTGATGCATGATCCAGACACAAATTACAGAAGAAAAAACACAGGCAACTTCTAGCTTACAAGGAAATAGCCCTCGGTCGAATCTTTCGATTTGAAACAACGCCAAAGCTGTGCTGCTCCGTACAGGTGCCATCCGTGCCGCCTCACTGATCATATCACCCAGAATGCTGACCTGCCTGAAAGGCACGGATGCAACATGATGATGATTCGATTTTTTTGGGGGGATCCCCGATGCAAAGCCTGTTGGTATAGCAATCTTCCTGTTGACATTCTTGCTATCGAATCCTTTATGGGAAATCCCTTTGAATGGATTATTGGCTTTGTCCTCCTGAAAGCTGCAAGCTTGCCGTTTCGGGTATCGTTTTTGCATGTCTGCTTTTGCCACAACAAATCAACTTGCTAGCGTTACCTTGGCATCCCATCAAAGCGAACACAAGCTCGCTTAGTAGGAGCTAAAACAGCGAGTTATGCAAAGAACTCATCATCGCGTGGTTTGACCCGCACCCATATTATCCGGCACAAACTCATGCCCCCAATCCGAGGGCCCTGGCCGTTTATGGCACGAGGCGGTGATTTTTCCTTCCCGCTGCATGGCCAGAAGGATCTGCCAAAGGCGAAGCAGGAAGCGACGGAGGATGAAAGAGGTATGCTCAGAAATGCGAGGTCCCTCTGCCTTTCTTCAACTAAAAACCGGTTGCCTTGTCTCTCACTTGGCCTCTACTCTCTTGGCTTGTGCATGGTTTTGCGTCACATCCAGAGGTTGCTGACGAAAAGCCTGACGGTGCTCCACACGACGTGCCCGGCGAAACCTGGTGCTCAGAGGCTTTGGAGAGTCCCAGCGCCGGGATGCGCGGTGCTCTCGAGGACCTCACAGTTTAGCGGGGATGCGCCACGGTCGCACGGCCTCAGGGCCTTGAAGGTCTACAAAGGTTGGTTGATGTAGGCAGGCAGTTCCCTCTCAGCCTGCCGAACTACTCAAGCCTCTCAGCCCTGCCGAACTACGAGTCCTACGAGTGTTACTTAAAGATCCAAGAACCCTCTTCTTGCGTTTCGACCTGCTGCGGCCGTGAAGGCGTCCCTTCGACAAAGCCATGGAATTGGGATGGCATCGGTTGACCGAACGCTTGGAGATGGACTCAGAGTGTTTGAGCAATCTTCACCACCCAGACACGACCCTTGGGACTGCCATAGGACTGCTGATCAGGCCAGGGGTGGTGCCAGGGGGGTCTGTCTGGGGCGGCAGTCCGTCCTGGCAGTCCCAGACGGGTCGTGTCTGGGCCAGATTGACCATGTTTTGAGCACCCTTTAGGGACCGGGACCAGATTTTCTCCAAAACACCGTGTGCGCACTTTCCTTCGCGGGAAGAGTCCTGGCAGCCAGCCTCCAGAAAACAAGCCATACAAACGCCCCAGTGTGCTACAAAACTCATGAAAACCATCCCAAAACATCCCAAAAAGATCCAAAAAGGTAGGTCAAGAAGGTTTTCAGGATGTTTCAGGTCTGCCCTTGGGTGTCAGGTAGCTCCGGTCTGCGACTCAAAGCGCTGACCTGCTCTCCGGGTTGCCCCAAAACCTCCGGGTCTCCCAACTCAGCCACTCCCATGGTCACTGCTGAGGTTCGCATGGCCACCAGCAGCAGCTTGGCTCCTAGTGAAGGCGCAGCCCAGCCGGACGGCCTGTTGATGAGGTATCTCATCTCTTAAAACCCCCCAAAACATTGCCAATTCGTGTGAGATTGGTGCCCCAGGTCCCAGGTCCTTCATTTGATAGACGAGTTCCATTTTTGCATGTACCCTGAGGTTGTTTTCACCGCGCAGGTTTTATCGGGAGAACCTACGGGGCGCGGTGGGAACCCCCTGCACTCCTGCGGCCTGTGCACGCTGGGCTTTTTGGACGAAGGTGCAATTCCTCAGTCGAGTGCGAGTGCGATCTGGGAACCAACTTGTCCGTCATATCCCAGACTTTCAGTTGACAGGCACGACCAAACTCCTCCGCTCTGCTCACCCTGACGCCCTTAGACACAAGGCGATTTTTGTCTGCTGTTACCGCAAACAGAATGTCGACATTGTCGGATACTCCTAGCTGCCTTTGACAGCAGAGACCAAGTATGGCAGAGTTTGTGGAAGGCTTGTGGCCGTTTCGACTGCACGCCACTGCCGCCAGTGCTGTAAACACGCAAAAGAGGCGTTGCTCACTGCCTCCTCCTGGTAAATAGAACAACTCCACAAGCTAGTGGAATCAAAATCAAACCTCCAATCAGCCAAATATACCTGGCATCAATGTGAGATTTGACCGCGTTGTTCCCATGCTCTATGTCGAACCAATCAGAGCCCAGTATGGGATTTTGAGGCATGTTCTCTCCTAGCTTTGGTTAAGCTGTAGTTGTTTACATTGACCTCAGAGTTCCCGGCAAATAATTTAGTGATGTTTATTTAAACAACTATAGATCCTAATGAACAAGCCTAATTATGTTGATCTTGCGGATATCACAGGTAATCCCAGGATGCGTATTTTGGCACTATCTTTTCGGAGTCGCGCCTGTTGCTAAATGAATGCTCCTCATCTTTGGCACTTTCCTGAGCTTTGTTGTCCTGGGCAAAGCAAAACTCCGACATTTCAAACATCGGAATCTCTATGCGTCTCCGGCTGCGAGCGTTCGTTCGTCCCGGCAGGGCGCGGGGCGCCACTCCCAGTCTCTCGCCCAGGGACCACCCATCCGTTCTATCCGTCACGTCCTCAGCTTGCATGAGCCGCACGCGGGGGCTTTGGCAGGTCTCGAAGTCCTGGCGACCAAAAAAAGAACACCTTGGCCGTGGATGCATTCATTGAGAATAAAGATGGGCAAGGTTACCCTCATCACATCTGTGAAACATGTTTGCCAAAACATCTGTTTAAAATTGCATAATGTATTATGATATTATGTGAATATGTTGCTAAAACCTGTTTACAACAAAATATGTCTTCATGATTGTAGGGGGCAAGGTTTGATAGCTATGGTTTTTGCTATTTACAACTACTGTTGCGTCTCTTGCAATATGGTATGATGTTTTCCAAAGTGTTGGTTAGTTCATTATCCTTTCTTTGGGCTGTAAGATTTGACATTATATTGTCCTTGTTCATATCTATATGAAATCCACAACCACAGTAGTTACACTGTTTGTTTTTCTAGTGTTATCAAAAAACCATTGAGTATCAACATATCCTTCTTTTGGTATTTTCTGTTTGCTTTCCTGTCCTGCAACAATGTTCCTACTAAAATAGCTCATTGTGCAAAATAGCTCATTGTGCATTGTGCATTAAAACTATCATTGACATCATGGTTGTATTTGGTGGGTACCATATATATATATTTATATATATATATATGTGTGTCTCTCACTCCGTTTTCCGGGTTGTGTCTGCTTCGTTTCCTCAACCTCACCCCATTTTAGGGTGGGTAGGGTGGGCCTTCTTTGAGCCGCACCACTGCGTATTCGACACGTAGCGCTATCGGTCGGCGCTACCTTTCCTTCTAGCTATTACGTGTCTCTCACTCCGTTTTCCGGGTTGTGTCTGCTTCGGTTTCCTCAACCTCACCCCTCTTCAGCTACCAAGGTTGAGTCAACCGTTCTCCGAGGGCGGCGTTCTGGATGAAGACGAGGTAGTCATTTTCGAGGTCGTCTTCTCCTTCACCTCCTCGTCAAAAGAGGTGGCCGCCGAAACCATCTTCTTGAGGATGATGAAATCAAGCTTCTCCAAGTCCACTTCCATGCGCCTCTCCGGGCTGAAGTTCCCGAACTTCTCCTTGCTCAAGTCGTCCGGAGCCTCCAAGATGCCGAGGGGCCGAACACCATGATGGCGACCGTCACGGCCAAAAGCTCAGAGGTTGAGATAGTCCGAAACGGCTCGCCCTTCATGTACAGGTAGGGAGCGTTCTTTCTGGTCAACTTCACGTGAAACCATCGCGCCTGCTGGGTGGCGCTGGTGTTGTACGTCTCCCAACCGCCTATGGCGATGCCGTTGTCGTCGGCCATGGCATCAACTCTGAAGATCTCGCCCAACACCTTGGGAGGAATTGAGAGCGCCTTCATCGGCGCCTTCTCGACCATCTCTTGGAAGAAAGCGATGGCCAGCTTAACCGCCATGTGCAGTTCGAAGAAGGCGCCGCCTGGTACCCGAGCAACTGCAGCGTATAGAGGTGCCAAGAAAGGCCTGGCAACCTTAATGGCCCCCGCTAGGAAGCCCATCCTCCCCAGCCCTGCCTTGAACTCTCGGCCGAGCATTCGGCCCTCCGAGACCGCCCATTTGCCCCAGGTGTTGAGCCACTCCACTTTCCGCTGGCTCACGCCCAGCGTCCAATTCCTCAGGTCGATCGTGTAGCCGATCCACTCTGTCTCAAGCCCTCCTCTGGTCTTGGGCCAAGAAAGAGGAACCTCCATCACTTCCAAATAGATGAACAGGGCGAAAACCAGGGCGTGGCAGTCCTCTCCTGAGGTGAGGAGAAGGCCATCGTCGGCAAACAGCATGAGGTACAAAGAAGCCTCCTGAGGCAAGACCTGGTGGAAAACCCTGAACAAAAGCCCCGCCAAGCGACCCCGCCAGAAAGCTGCCGAGGCTACTCCGAAGGTGCCCCGCGTGTTCAGGAAGACCTCCTCCTCCTTGTCCAGCCTGCACGCCTGCAGCCCCCAATCTCTTTCTTGAACAGGAATCAGGCGATGCGCTGCTTTGACATCGAAGGCCAGCATGAATCGCCTCGGTCCAGCCTCCTTCTGGAACTCGCGGAGCACCGCCTCCAGGTCGTCGTACTGGGGAAAGACCATCTTGTTGGGCTGATCGAGGTGGGTGTTGACACGCAAACCATGAGTCCCGTCGTGCACGACTCTGACATCACTCCACTGCGGGTCCTTGGGCACCGCCCTCAGGGATGCCACTTGAAGTTCATCCCCGTACTTCCTCCTGGCCTCCTCCAAGGTGACCTTCACCATCCATCCTTTCTCCAAATCCGACTCCACATGCGATCTCACCTTCTCCATGTGGTCCTTCGCCGAGGTGTAGTTGCCCCGGTACTCTTGAAAGTCCGTCTCCTCCCACCTAGCCGCAGGGTCTTCCGACCCCTTCCTCTCGCGCTTGTCATAGACCGCGCTGACCCACGGAATCTCTCCCCTGGTGCCAAGCGGAACCCCCGTCGAAGCCATGCCCTCCAGGAACTTAGAGTCGGGGTCCTGCACCACCTCTGCCCAAGCGCGGAGCCGCCGGAAATGGATCTCGGAACGCCTGTCCCCCGGCTTGCGCTGAGGCGCCACTCCAAAGCTATCCAACGCCTTCAAACCTGCCACAAACCCCTGAAACGGGGAGGAGCTGAAACGTCCGAGCGCCAGCTCGGAAATCATTCTGAGCCTTGCCCGTTTGTCCATGCCGTTCACGAAGCCCATCACCTCCTGCCAGAAGGTCTCCTGCAGCTTGACCGCAGCGCTGGAACGTGGAGCTCCTCGATGTCCCGATGGACGGATGCCCGGGGAGTTGAGGCCCAAACCATCAGCAGCCCTCCGAGCCCTGCCCTTGTACCACACCTCGATGGGTGCCCACCGCGCACGAACTCCACCTGGCTGAGGAAAAGCCCGGCGCTTCTTCCCAACACCTGATTCCATCGCCTCCGCCGTCCTCTTCTGTCCATACCGTTCTTGAGCGCCCGGAGGGTGCCCTTCAGGATCAACACGAGGGTGCCCTTGAGGAACACCTTGACGCCGTCCACGAGGTTCTCCTGGAGCGTCAGGAGGAGCTCCTGGAACTGGGAGAGGCTGCCCTTGAGGTTCGACATGATGATGATGGTGACCTTGAGGATCTCCAGGATGATGCCCTTGACGAGGTCCCGGAGGATGCCCTTCATCTTTGGGTTGATGATGTCCCTCACCTTTGGTTGGATGCCCTCGTGGATCTCCAGGATGATGCCCTTGGTGATGTCCCTCATCTTTGGGTCGTGCCTTTTCTCCATCTTTGGGTTGAGGATGCCCATCATCTCTGGGTTGTGCCTTGTCTCCCTCGTCGGGCCCGCGACTGCCCCTCTTTAGAAGGGCCTGGAAGAGGGTAGAAGCCAACCAGAAATCCATCGCAGGAGGATAGGCTGCCGCAGCCGTGGTGGCGAAGGAGTTGTTTGCCGTGCGGCGTATAAGGCCTACGTGGCGGCGGCCGCAGCGACATAGTCGAGGTAGAGGGCCCGTGTAGCGGCCGAGTGGATCAAGTTTGGGCATACCTCCCCATAAACGAGTTTGCAAGGCGTCGATATTGTGCAAAAGCCTGGTGGGCTTTTGTGAGCCAGCGCCGAAATGGCATTGGAAGAGAGCGCCGGACATGGCTTGCGCATGCTTAGCCCATTCTCGGATGGGGAGCAGCTGCCAGATGCTCGCAGGCCTGGCATTAGGGCCATAACGCGATGTAGCTCCCAAGTCTTCGGGGTGTTCGATGAGGAAGAGGAGGCCATGTCTCAGACATAACGTGATACATTGCAAACAAAGTTCAACCATCAAATTGCTACGATCCACTTTCGTTCGCCGCCAACCCTCGAGCCAAGGGAAACCGAAGGGATGAAGAGAGGACCTGAGCGGTCGGGGACCATTGTTGTTCGCCCAAGGTGCCCTGGACCAAGTGCCACAAGGTGAGCTCATCAGCGCGGCATCGTAGTAGCCTTGAGCTATACGATCTAACAAAAGCTTTTGGAGGCCATCGTCCAGGAGGTCATGCTTAGCATCCCTCAACACGTCGAAGGCATCTACAGTGACCTTTACCGGGAGGTTGGCAGAGTTGGCTAGCTTCTCCAAAGTTTCGGGAATGCCACTCGGCCTGCTAGGCCCAGCAAACAGATAAAGGACTTTGAATTCAGTGGGTACATGCATCTGTTCAATCTTCTGTTGGGCTGGCTCAGCCCCTAGTCACGAGTCCTTGTTGTCGTGGACGTGCTCGTGCATGGGATGCCCAGGATCTAGACAAACACGGCAGGCGTGAACTCGACCGCAAGCGCCTGTACAGCCCTCGCCTTTGTTGTTCCAAGCAAAACAAAGCTGACGTCCGTCTGGTGTGGAGGCGTAGAGCTGCTGCGAACCTTTCCCCTTCGATTTTCCCTTCGACCCCTTCTTGCCCTTGACCTTGCCTTTACTCTTGCCCTTCTGCTGCTCGGCGTAAGGATGCTGGCGGTCTTGCCACTTTCGCTGTTTGCTCCACGCGTCCTCCTTGATGGACTGCATGGCCGAGGTCACCGCCAGTGGGGTACTAAAGAAGCGCTCGCGCACATCCGCGTTCTTCACCACCTCCCTGAGAGCTGTCACCCACGTGTCGCCCTTGTTGACCTGCTCGACCGCCTCCTTGCGCATCTGGAACTCATAGCTCATGATCAACTTGAGGGAAGGGCGATGCAGGGCTACCTCATCAACTACTAAGGACTCAAGCTGAGCCACGTTCTTACTGCAAATGTAGTTCAAGTACTCGATGGCTGTGAAAGGCGTCAGCCCTTCAAGTGAGGCCTTATGAGGGTACCTGAACCTGGCGAAGATCAAGTGGTTGATCATCAAGTTCACCTTAGCCCTGAACTCTTCCATGTTGGCCGGATTGGAAGTCTCAACTCGGGCCTTCTTAATTTTAACTGACCTGCCTTCCCAAGGTGCAAGCTGCCCGTCTCAGCGTCATCCTCCTCCGCCCTGGATCCGAAATGCCTCAAAGCCATGGGCCTGAACTCGCCGCTGTCGAGCTGTTCACAAACATCTTCAAAGCTGGGTTTCCCAGGGCACTCCGCGTCCTTGAGCTTAAAGAACCTCTTCTCGAACTCAGCCCTGTACAACTGCATCTCAACCCCAGGAACCGCTTTCGGTTGTTTGTGGGCAGTGGCATCTGCGTCCAGCTCATCCATCGCCACCCGGCGTTTCACCGCCGACTGCCAGCTCAAGTAGAGCGCTGCGAATTTGATCGCATCCCTCGGCCTTGCGCCGATGTCAATTCCCAACTCCGCCCTCGCTACCTCCAGTAGCGCGTCCCTATCTGTCGCGACTGCAGAGAGCATCGCGATCGAGGGAATCCCAGCGTCAAACAATGCCGCCTGCATGACGGCGTCAACCCCCCTTGCGTCCAGCAAACCCTGGAAGTCGGGTTGGAGTGACGCGATCTTCTCCTCCTGAGAAAGTCCAGCCATTGCGGCGTGCGCCCCTCCGAGGCGGCCCCTCCAGGGCGCGGGCGTCCTGCCCTCCCCAAGCCCCCTTCCTGAGAGCCTACACATCACCAAACAAAATGAACCACCGACCGACGGACCACCGACGCGAACCCGAGGGAAAAGACCAAACACGGACCCAACACCGGTCGCCCTCCAGGCCGCCCCGGGAACATCCCCGCATCGTTTCTGCCGCGACCTCGCCGGTCAGGCGTCTTCGTCCGTCACGCCCTCACTTGAGGAGGACTCCGAACCTGACGAGTGCTCGCCATCTTCGCCCTGCTGAAGGGCCTCCGCTATGCTGTCCTTCTTCGTGAAACATGTGGAGCACAAACGCTCTCCTTGGTCCGGGAGGATCTCAGGCCTCTCCATTCCGACCACCACGAAGTCGCGGTAGTGGACACCCGGAACCCGATAGCAGCCGCCGATCACGCGCAAGGTCCTTCTCTTGGTCTTGCCCACCACCGACAAGATGTAGGTGCCCAGGTTATACCTCTCCTCCGGAGCCGGGTCGTCCATCACTTCATCGTCGCTGAACACCTCAGTGGGGGACTCCAAAACCTCCAAAACCTCCGGGCCCTCCGCCTTCTTCTTGATCGGCTTCGACAGCACATGGAATGGTCCATTTCCCATGCCTCCCCAAGTGGGAGGTGCGATCTTCATGATCTCCGCGTGCGCTTGAGTCGGGGTCATCCCATGTACCGCTTGAAGCCAGAGTGCAAAGTTGTTGAGAACCGACCTGTCATCCGTGTAGTCGGTGATGCTGTACTGCGCCTTGATCTTTCCTGCCACATGAGCCTGTGCCTGCATCACCACCCTCTTTGAAGTCACCGCATACTCCTCATCCACCCCTGGCGACCAGCGCCCCTCACCCGCTCCGAGTGCTCAGACCAGTACGAGGTGGCCTCAGGTATCATCAGCTTCTGCGGCTGGCCATCCTCATCCAACCTGATCGAGTAGAGCTCGGTGTGAAGGGCTCGCGAGTAGCACATCGCCTCGGGGTAGGAGAGCATGCCTTTTCGAAACCCTCTCAAACTCTCATTGGGCTTGCACATCAAGAAGTCCCTCCTCTCCATGTCAGCGTCCTTGTTCATAGTCGTGAACAGCTGGAGACCGACCCTCAGCCAGTCCTTGTGCGCCAGCCAAGCTTCAGCAGCCACGTAAAACTGGACCACTTCTACTCGGCGGCCGACCCCCGTTGTTTTAGCCTTCAAGATCTCGCCCTGCAGGCCCACCAGCGGGTCGAACTCCAGCGTGGACGGAGGAACTCCTTGACTGTCATGTGAACGAAGCCCCCCCCACAGTTTAATTAGCTTATACCAGCAGTAGATTCTCTTGAAGGACTGGAGGGTCACGTCGAGGACCCCAATTTCCCATGCTCTTGCAACCTCCACCGGAATGCGGGCTGCCTTGTTCCGCTGCCGCGCCTTCCAAGTCGTGCCCTGCTCAACCTCCTTGAGGTAGTTGTGGATCGACTGCGCACTGGACAGCCGTTTCTCAGGTGACACCTCAGCTGCAGCTTCTAGGAATGCCAGACACTTGAACAAAGACCCTGGCACGCTGCGGCCGCATGGTTCTTCGAGCAGCAGGGCCACATACCCTATAAAATCACCTGGAGATCTGAGCCACGCGGTGCCGTAGATGGACTCCATGTAAACCTGCAACCTCCTACCGTACTTGACATGTTGTCTCAGCGTCGATGCCCTCCTGCCTGCTGCCACTCTGGATGCCAATTGCTTCGTGGCCTCGGGATCCCTCGCCAGGCTCGCCAAGAAACCTGCATCTTCGAGCAGCATCATGAGCTCCCGAATCCAACGCTGGCGTTCCTTCTCCTCGGCCTTGGCTCGGTGTTGATCATCAGGTGCATTAGCCAAGGCCTTCTGCAAGCGTGACTTCCAAGTCACTCTGGGCATTGTCTTTCTAGCCAGCACCAGCGAAGTGCCAACCTCCGACAAGGTCGAAGCCAAGTTGCCGATCACCTTCTCCACCGTCGAGGCGTCCTTGTAGAGCAACTTCTGGTGGTGGTAGAAAGCACCATCCTCGATGTCCATCAGCCGCTTCTGGCGTTTGGCTTCTTGCCGCAAGCCATCCATCTCTCCAGGTGTCCAACCTCGCGCCATGGATGGTAGCATTGCCCGGATCTCTTCGTCCGGCATCCTGTGAAAGAAAGCCACCGTAGGTAGCTGCCAACCCTCATGAAGGAGGATTCGGACAGCAGGTGGGAGTGACCCACTGTCCGACGCCATGGCGCCCCGGTCCCTGGCCCAAAGACCTTCTTTGAGCCGCACCACTGCGTATTCGACACGTAGCGCTATCGGTCGGCGCTACCTTTCCTTCTAGCTATTACATATATTGTCGTCGTTGCCATCATCTTTGTGCTTTCCTGTTGCTGCAAAGACTTCTGACTTTGCTGTGCTTGCCCCTGCGCGATGCGAAGCGTTCTTTTCTGGTAGTTCTTAGATTCTTTCGTGTGCGACGTTGCGGTGCTTTTCCTGTTTGGGGCGGCAAACTACAAAAAAGTACACTGAAACAAGACCAAACAGGCCAAGACTTGCTGCTCCCGGCACGCACTCTTGGGGTGCTAACATCTGGGAGAAGCAACAATACCTCTTGTCTTTCGGTCTGCAAATAGACAAAGGATGACAAAGGTGTCTTGCTGTACGTCGACGCAGGTGAACACTGTCTCATGTCAAACCTGATCATGTCGCCGTTAGGGATCCGTCTCCGTTTGGTTCAAACGCCCAGATCGAGCCTCACAGAAGACCGCCGCGAACTCCCTGTTGAGCAGCTTGAAATGAGAACCTAACAGCCAGCCGCAGAGGCCCGTCACCCGGTGAGCTGCGCTCAAACTCGCGTTGATCTCTTGAATTTGGGAAAATTGCAAGGATTCGATGGATTCAAAGCATCTGGACAGGTTTGTCTTCTAAGAGAAGAAACGCAACAAGCGACTCAGGTCCCCGGCGCAACTGTCCTTGAGCAGAAGCTTGTGGTTCTATGCATTCACACCACCTGTCCAGCAGCTCATTGGATGACAACCTTCCAATCTTCCTAGCTTCAAGGAATGATGCTGTCAGTGCTCAACAACGCTGCCGCTGTCACTTTTGGTTTACAACCTGCAAAGACCATCAACTCGCATCTTGGCTTCCTCCCCAAGAGCTGAGATTCACTCACGGTGCCTCTTCATGGGGACATCTCCTGAAGAAGCAGCTGCCGAGCGGTCGAAACACAAGCGGCACTGCCCAGTACCGCTCGTTCGCAACACCGTCCACGGTCTTCTCCACGGTCCTGTAACCGGTTGGATCACTTCGACCTGGGCTTCAAAGCGTCGTTTTCTCGAGAAGAGAAGCCGCTGGGGACCCCCGGAGCGAAGCATCCGGTTGGGAAGAAGTCGTTTGGATCTGTGCGCAGCGTGAGTCGAAGGTATGTCAGAGGGCAGGTCGTGAAAACACAAATGCCACGAAAGCGACCGCAAAACACCCAAAGCCATCGGTGGTCCGTAGACGCGTCGACTCCTTTTGTGCGATGGTCCCTGCGGGTCAGCAGGTCCGACCAGACCAGAAGTTTGCCCTCGGGTCGTCTTGACCTGTCTTGACCGAAAACCTCAAGTTGGGCCCATGTTAGACCCTATCTATTTCAAAAAGAAAGAAGTGGAGCGGTTCAGGCGAAGTGCAGCTCTCGCTCGTGCCACACATGGAAAAGCCCAACGCCGCACTGATGCAAAACCAAACCTACGATGAACGTCATTGCAAAGCCTGCCAGGTCTGAGGGGAACTTGTACTTGATGAAGGGAGAGTACTGGCTCAGCCGCTCCTGTTGACAGGTGACCCGATTTCAGACTTGGAAACACGAAAACCGGGAACTCTGCTCGCAGGAAAAGGGTGCAACTGAATCCCTTCTATATGTTATCGTCTTTGTTTGGAACATCTTGGACCTAAATGCTCCAAATACTGGCTTTGGAGGCCATCACTATTAGGTTGGAGGCCATCGCCGTTAGGTTGGTGCATCATAGACCTAAATGTTAAATACTGGCTTTTTGGAGGCCTAAATGCTCCAAATACTTTGGAGGCCATTAGGATGGAGGCCATCACTGTTAGGTGGGTGCATCTTAGACTCTTAGACCTAAATGCTCCAAATACTGGCTTGATTGCTTGCCGGCCCGGCCTTGTAATGCTTGATATCCCTGGAAAACTTCTCGTCGCTTTCACTGGGGACATTGACAGCATAGATGTCGCTGTGCACAACATGGTGAAGAGTGTGCCATTGGATCAAGGATTTGTGTGGCCACACATTGTGCGTCACTACATTGGGACCAGAATAGGCTGCATGGAAGAGAAAATATGGAACACAAGCGAGGGTGTTGCAGAAGAATAGGGTGCCTCCTTCAACCCATCCTTCCCAAAGCCCTGCTGCTGGTGTCGTTGGGTATGTACCTTTGCAAATGTGATGCTCCAAGTGAACAAGGCGATGAAAGGGCTGCACTTCATGATAAAGCTTGTGCAGCCAAGCAAATTTGAACTGCACCATGTAATGGAAGAAGATGTGCTCCACAATGACCACCACGAAGTGGATGAAGTGGAAGGGACAACCAAATCTGACCTGAATCATCGCCAAGGCTGTCTGCAACTGCAAGACAGTGCCTGCCTGCGATGTGGTGTACACGATCTCCATCATGGCCTCTGAGGTGCTCAAGCGATTCTCTCGCCCAATCGCTTCCATCACAACACGATACCCCTTGCACCACAGAGGAGCAGAGAGCACAAAAGCCGCCCCCAGACCGTAGAGTAGAAGCACGGTGTGCTGAACCGAAGCTTCAATGGTGCTGAGCGGAAAGGTCATGTACCCCTGCCACGCGCTGGGCAAAAGCTTCTCCAAGGCGAGAAGAGCCAGATAGCGGAGGGCAATCTGAGAGAAGGAGACCAAAGAGATGCCCATCATCATGACCCAGTTGTTGAGCCATCCAGCTACTGTGGAAACGGTGAAGTTCCACATGTTGGATCGAAAGATGTAATAGTAGTAGACCAAGCCCATGAGAAGAGTTGGTGTGAGGCAGTATAAAGCAATGAAACGCTGGTATTCCAGTGAGAAGCCAGGCAGAGAGTTCAAGCAAAACATGAAAGGTACATAGGATAGCACGTTCATGATCAAGGTGGGTCCCGTTGGAACAGACACAAAGAGTTCCTGGATCTCTTTCGTGGCGTCTGCGTGCGCGGACCAGGATCCGGTCAAATAGCAAATCGCCACTTTCCAGCCACCCAAGTATGAGCGGCACAACTTGCCCAAGAGAGCAGGGAAGATTGCTGGGGAGATCATTTCTAAAGACTCTCTTTTGAGACTCGGTTAGCTTTGAGAGAAAATCTCTGTGAGCCAAACATATTGCAGAACGCATTCCAAACATATGGCATTTCTTGGTGAAACCATGGGTTTCCGTGCCACTTCGTGCCCCTTTCCTAGCTTTGATTTCAAGAGCAAAATCTAGCCGTTAGCCGTTGGGGAAATCGATGGAATCCTTCCAGGTGACGACCCGGTAACGAACGAGCCAGGTGACTTGAAAGCCGTCTTCCGCGCAAAAGGTCTGGCTGGCCACGGCCTTCACACTGCTCACCACCTTGCGCCGAATACCAACGACACCATGTCCAACGGAAGGGCTGTCCATTTTTGGAAGAAACAAAACATAAAAAGAAAAATGTATCTTAACTTCAATAACTTCATTGATTTTTCTTGGTTCTTCAATGTGTCTTCTTCCCTCTAAGTACAAATAGTCCTCCTTGGACCTACCTGTCCAACTGACATGACCAGCACGCCGGGACTGCCCTCTTCCGGTCGGCTCCACAATGGGTGAGCGTCTAAGTCTTTGGCCATGGCCGCATCGTCGGTTCCTGGGAGTTGCTTCGATGGAAGAAGCATCGCGTAGCGAACGTCACATGTTGGGGGCATCGCGTAGGCGACCGGAGTGATTCGGACGCTACGCAGGTAGCTCTTGGCCTTACCAGTAACAAGAAGCTACGAACGGTAACGTGGAACATCTGCGACAAGGTGGGAGACAGCACACGAGAGCACACGAGAGTGGCAGTGGGTCCCGAGAGATTCCAACCACACACATCATATACACACAATCATACACACAAATACATTAGGTCTATCGGTCTATCCTATTACCAGCAATAGTCGATGATGGTTGGTAAAGGCCTTGTTCAATAGTAAATATTTTGCTTACTGACTGTTACAGGCAATAGGACGGACCCAACATATACACACATACAGTCACATACACACATAAATATGTACACTCAACATGCTGGGCCTCCAGGCCTATTGCCAAGCGCACCAAGCCATTTTTGCACTTACAGGTGGCTCCCAACATGGCGCAAACCCGCCAATCTTCTGCCTGCGCTTGCAGGGACAGAAAGTACATTCAGCTTGACCGACTCGCCATACCCGGCGAACGTTTCTGGAAACATTTGCCGTGAGAATCACGCGCCAGGTTCCCTGGGGAGTACCCATTCTTGGACAGGGGGGTGTGCTGAAATGACTGCGGACAAGGAATCTCAGGAAGTGGTAAGTGGTATTCCGTTTCTTCTGGGTTTTAAGGCACCTGTGGTTCATCAAATTGATTAAAATACCCCTTTAGACAGGAAAAATGACTCAGAAATCAAAGACCTTCTGCCATCTGCACCTGAAACTTAAGAAACACAAACGTAGAAGCGCAATCGCACCCAACCTGGACCACAGGGACTGTCTCCTCACGTCGATCCCGATTGGGTCGGCCATCTTTCGAATCGGACACATCGGCCGTCGTGGTCTGGATACATCCGTGATCGTCCGGGTGGTCGTCTTCGAAGGCGCGAGGTGAAGAAGAACTGTTTCTACTAGCTTCTTGTTACTATTAGTAAGGCACTTGTTACTAGTAGCGTGGCACTTGTTACTAATAGCTTCTTGTTACTACTAGTAAGGCACTTGTTACTAGAAGCGATGCACTTGTTACTACTAGCAATCTTGGTCGTCTTGGTTTCGCTCTCGAACAAACATGCTACAGAACATCGCCATGGCATCCGGAGCCACCGGTATGCGGCAAGCGGCCAAGAAAACCGGAGCACCAATCGATGAACAACGGGTTGGATTCAAACTGCCAGGAAACTGCTTTGTCCAACGGACATTCCACAGCGACGGGCATTCCCAATCCTTCCTTCCTTCCTTCCGACCTTCCGCAGCTGGACGCAACAAACATCAACCACCTTTTTGCCCCCCCGCTCCATGGTGGTCAGCGTCTTCTCTCGTGCGCGCTGAAGGAAGTACCTCGAGCCGCAGGGGCAATGCTGACAAAGCGTATAACGTTTGTGTGGCATAAACAAAGGGTTCAAACGTTGAACTGGTGTTGTCTGATGAAAGAACACCAAGCATTGTATCCATGTTGGTACCTCCACCTGCACCACACAGGGCAACAGGCAACAAAACAGCTAAAGACCATAAATGAGTGGAAGATCAACAGCCGAAGGAGTAGGAACAGCAACAGCCGGGGGACTTGAAGCTGAGACGAAAGCGGTTTAGAGTGAAACGAGTCTGGGCGTTGCCAGGACTTTAGGCCAGTACTCCCACTCCTTCCACTCCTTGCAGAAGCCTCCCATCTCTGAGCTCGGTACATGACCTTGGTACTAATGGGCTCCCGCAGGGTGGGGGGCTCCTGGCCAAACCCAATGCGGCAGTGTGTGGTGGGGCCATTGAGAACCTGTAAACCATCTCTTACCGGGCTCATAGCAGGTGGTTGGATGATCCTAAAATGGAAGCTGCAGTGACGTCTGGGATACTATTCTGTACCTAGGACCAAACCCCATGTGCCCGATGTACTCCATGATACGAAAGGCATTGAGGTGCATGGATGACAAGTTGGTTGTGGTAGTGCAAGACCAAATGATTAGTTAAGGATTCTGATCATTGAATCTGAGGAAAACAATTCTCGACCCTCTCCAGGTCCATTAGTGAGGTGTGTAAAGCGCCTTGTGATGAGTGGCCTTCTGTGGGCTTCAGCTTCTCATCATCCCCTTGTAACTATCACATGGGGCGCTTGGCCGCTGGCCCGCAAGCACCCGCGACGACGCATATATCCGTCCGTTTTGTGCGTAGTCGAACTTGTGGCCATGTACAGGTCCTGGCAGCTGGTTTGGATCAGAATCCCTACATTGCATATAAAGAAAGAGCACATGACAACCCTTCCAATCACTTGGTCAAAGGAGTGCGGAGCCAACTTGGACCACTCCTAGCCAGACCAATGGATCAGGTGGCCTCCAAACACTAATGGGAAGTATGGTTGCCAACGACTGGGCGAGACCAGGTCGGACGTCCCGGTCGATCGGCTCATCCTTCAAGGCGCTCACCAGCGTCAACTGCAAGTCCATTTCCTCACCAGTTGCGCACAACTGAAACAGGCGAACTGGAGTCATGCGAACGAGGACATCCACAAAGCAACTCCTGTTGAAAGAAAGAAAGGAAAAGAAAGGACAGGAAAGTGAAGGAAACAAGACCCCGGAGCCTGCGGTCGCAGCTCATGTCCCGCCGCCACCTTCGTCAAACCTTCCCAAGCTGAATGAAATCAACCAAGGACCTTAAGGACCTGAAGCTGATCTTTAAACAATCTCAAAGTGCTTGTGAACGCCGCAGTGCAGGAGCCAAACACAACTTGCCGTGCCACGAAACAAACATGTACAGCAGGTTCTTGGCCTGGATCCAAGATTGTTGTGATTAGCTCATCAAGGACATCATCGATGCCGAGAGCCTTGAGTTCCGCGTCTGGAGTTGTCCGTCGTGTGAATGAACAGCCCTTCTTACACACCTGAGCCGCCTGGGTCATCTGACATGTCCATGTGAACATGAACCTGGACATGCCAGATATGCCCTAAGAAATAGCCAAAAGCAAGGCGCTGGAGCCTCCACTGAAAGCGATGTTCCTTTGATTTCTTGGGAAAAGCAACTGCTGGCCTCCTCTTTGTGCCCCAAAAGCTGTTGCCTGCCAAATTGCAGCTCACAACATGTCCATATACCGAAACAACAGGCACCGGCACTGGCCCACAAAACTGGACATGTCGGGACATTTGGTGAGTCTTCAGTTTTCCTGTGAGCTTTGGAATAGGCAAGTCAGCAACCTCACAAAGTCTGTCTGTTCTTCGGCATCCCATAAATAATCCGGTCGGCTGCTGGCTTTTTCACGAGAATAATGGGTTCCTTTCTTCACCGCGGTTTGACTTTCTGGTGTGAAAATTATTATTGCCCCAACAATCTGGCCATATTGAAGCATGCTCTTTGGATGCTTTAGATGCGCAAGCAACATCTGGTTTAGATTCCCAAGCAGAGCATCCACAATCCAGCGAAGGATGCGAGGCCTGTAGATTTGCAGCATCCTCTTTGCATCCAGCAGGCGATAGATTATCTTCCCTGCAACCGTCAAACGCTCCTAAATGAAGCTACACCTCCCCTTCCTTCATGCCCTTCCTGCCCATCCACCCAAATGCCAATCAACAAATGCAAAAATCGCTGCACTAGATAGAGCCACAGCATCAGCTTTGGGCGACTCAATCTGCTCAATCCGCTCAATCCGCTAGTCAGCTAGTCTGCGAGTCGCAGACTAGCCCAACAGATCGATGATAATCATTGCTACATCTGGTCCTACCTAAGGACCCCACAATGACCTAAGATGACCCCAGTCTATGCGCTGCTCAGGTCCTGGCGGGTCATGCTATGGACTCTGCTTGAGATGTCAAGGCTCTTCACTTCGTCCGTCCAGCGTCCTGGGCCGACCGGATCACACGCAGCGCCGAGGGGGGCGCGGCCCGCGCACTCCGGGACGCGCTCTCCGGCGCGGCAGCGGCCGGCGCCCGAGCCCGCGGCCTTCCACCAAGAAAGGCAGGTTCTCCTCGGGTGGCAAGAGCCCGGTATCAAAGGGCCTCGGTGTCCAAGGCGAAAGAGGTCGAAGATCGTTTTCGACCGAACGAGTCCTTCTGGGACACGAGTCCTCGGGGAATGGAAAGATCCACGCACCCGTCCAGTGGTATGACGTGGCTCACCTTGCTGGTCTCACGCAATGGTCTCCCCAGTCCACCTCGGCATCCATACCTCAAGATCCGGAGGACCAGAGCTAGAGCACGTTGCTGCTGCAGCCGATCGATGGGCCTTGCACTTCTTCGGCAACATCGACGTGAATCATCGCCATGCTCCAGTCTTCTTTCAATAAGCAGATCTGAATTCCTTCAGAACAACAAGTTCAAAGGCCATTTTTGACTATCAAGCCGGGCCAGCTTCGAAGCATGGTGGTGAGAAGTTGGGCCCACATCTGTTGCAGTCAGGACCAAAAAACGAAGTGTTTTATTCGAATTGGTGATGCTGTTCCTGCTGAACAAGTTGCCAGGACACATCATAAAAGAACTCGTTCAAAGTGGGACATCTATCAAAAGCAAAACAAACAAACAAACTGCATTCCAATGAGTCGGGCGTAAGATGCTATTCCTCAATAAAAAATGCCATAAGTGAGTTCTCTACACAAAGAATGCTATTTTTTATTTACCTGCTCAAGTATGCTACACTGCATAAATGTGTGTACATGTGTGTGTGTGTCATCGACTTCTCTATCCATTGTCTACAGGTTTTCTGGTCAGTCTATGGCCATGTTTTTCCCCATCTATTGCCCCCATGTTCCTCTTTCCTACCAAAAACACGCAATTCCAAAATTGGTTTGTTTCTTCTGGTGTCTTCTGGGTGTGGGGTAGTGGATCCTAACAATAATGTCGACTTGGCACCTGTTGGGGAATCCAGAAATCTGGAAGGGAGGTATGTTGTCGTCTTCGGGGGTCGTTGGGCGGGGGTGCGCATATATGCTACCCCCCCCCCCAAAACCTACGTTTAGTCAGGTGTTTGGGTGAATGCCTGGTTGCCAGATGTGTTGGTTTTACCAGACAGTCAGAGGCATGATATTATGATAGGCATTGGCATGTGTAATGAAAGCAAAAGTTTGTTTCACTGATGAAGGAATGATGTTTGCAAAAGACGGACCAGGTTTTACACAATGTGAAGGTTAACGAAGCAGACAAGAAGAGGCGCGGCATTTTTTGTATCCATTGCGACTCCCTGTGCAAGTTCACTCTGTGTTTTTGGCATTGCGCCAGCCACAGATTACACCAGAAGCAAGCCACATATCGGCGTTGCGATGCCAGTACTCATACTGGGCACTGCGGATCTTCGCCCGCAAGAGTGATGACCCCACTGTACACTTTTGGTTCAGTTTGATCCTGTCCTTCAGATAGCGCCAAGCACGATCGATGATCTGTGTCCCACCTTTGGTTTTCATCTTCTTGCCTGTGGCGGCGCCTGTGTGGACAGCGACTTTGACGTAGGTGGGCCGCTTCCAACCCATTTGCTCTTCACTTTGACTCTCTTCTTGCAGTGTCTGACATGGTCATGAAGGACACCAGGCAAACGCAAGCGATAGGACTTGGCGGCATCAGAGTGAAGGATGACACGTCGGTCTTGCAGATGCTTGTGGGCCAAACCTTGCGAGTGGCTCCGGGACCAGGTGCTCCTTTGGCAGACATCATCGGGAGCAATCTCTTCAACAGCAGCGTATCTGGGCGACCACGCTGAACAAGGCCGCACCATTGTTCCCACACCACAGGCTTTTTGGGATCCTCAGCAAGGTCCTTGAGATCTGTGCTGGTGAATGTCTGCTTCGATATCCGCCCAACTCTTGCCATTGCCGAAGGCAATGAGTTTCTCCTTTTCCTCAACCCAGCTTTTCAACATTAGTAGCAAACATGCGGCACTCAGACATTGGAAGGCACCTGCGGAGACAGCTGACCAGGCGATGCAGAGGCTCTGCGCTCAAGTTCTGGGCAGACATTAGTAGCAAACATGCGGCACTCAAACTGATGAAGGGAGACCAAATGGTTTGCATACGTTTGCAAACGTTGCGTTTGCAAACGTTTGCAAACGCTCCAGATCCAAGATCCAAGATCCAAGATTCCAGGGAAAACTTCTTGGATCCAGGAGCCTGAGGATCCAACACTCAATCCTGGTGACGAAGTCCTCTTATTCATTTACTATGACATGTCTTCAATTCCTGGTGTTCTTCTAAGAAGTTTTCCCTGGAATCTTGGATTTTGGATCTTGGATCCTGAGGCTCCTGGATCCAAGAAGTGGAGCGTTTGCAAACGTTTACAAACTTTGCGTTTGTAAACGCTAAAGCAAGTACTTTGTATTAAGTGTTAAGGCATGAAGATTTTAAGGAAGGTACCACCAAAACAACAAGAAAAAGTAGATCCAAAAAAGCATATAAAAAAATCAAACACACTGCAAATACCAATGAATTCAAAGATAATGTAGGATTTTTTTTGGGGGGGGTACCATATATTTTTATGTATACTTCTTTCTATGTTGTACATGTTCCGTTTTGCGTCCCAAGTCTTTGTTGTTGCAGGATTGATCCCATGCTACCCGCCCCTAGACCCGCCACCCACCGAAGACCCGCCTCGCCGAGCGGAGCTTGGAGGAGCCCTCGCCCCGATGGAGGAAGTGGTCCTGGAGTGAAGTTCAGCGGTCGAGGAAAGCGGTCGAGAAAGTTTGTGTCCTTTCAATTCGTGAAAAGCTGGTTTGGCAAGTCTCTGTTGGCATATCTCATAGAGGACAGGAGTGGTTCTGGACAGCCAGGAAACGCAGGTTTGACGTGGTCGGCTCCAAACGTTTCATGATCTCTAAAGGAGATGACACCTGTAGGTGTTCCGAACGGTCTTGACCCACTATTAACAAGAAAGAAACAAGAGAGTTAAAGTGACATTGAAACCACAAAAAGGAAAAAAATCACCCTTCTACTTGCAGAAGTTTCCAACTTCCTGCCTCAAGGCGGGGGGGTACTGGAGGACTGGACGTCACCCACTGGCCGCGAGCCACCGTCCTCAATGCCACCAAGCCAGCGCACCAACTTCAAGCCGATACTCTCCGTTCGAGAGACCATGGCACTCACGGCCTGAAGATGTTGGAGGTTTTTTTTCAGGCCGGAGGGTTGGCTGCGGCAAAAGAACATTCAGAGACAACAACATTCAAAAGAACATTCAAAGAAAGGCTTTCAATGAAACATATTCAACTAATAAACCATCCGCAAGTTAGGGGGCAGAGTGAAACAAAGCCAGCTGAGTGTCTTGCTTCAACGAATCGGGTCTTTCCCCCTTGGAGTTGCCCCCAAAAAACCGTTCATCCGCTCCATGCTGGACACCAATCCTCACATCGATCCGCTCCATGCGTCTCGCGCGCCTGTCCATAGAGTCGATATGGTTCACCAGGAGCCACGGACATCCTTGGAGCCGCCAGACCCGTCCCACCCGTCCCAGTCACGGACTTTGGCTCGTCGCCACGGAGACCCAAAACCAAACCTGTTCACTCCGCCACGCCGAAAACAAAAAGGAACTCCACCCAAAACACCCAAAACACCCGAAGCCGAACCGTCCCCGGACGACCAGATCTGCGACCGAAGAGCTCCAAAAGCCTCTTCTGCGCAAGCACATACCGTTCCACTTCTTTCTCGAAGTAGGTGATGGGTTCCTCCAAAACGCCATACGTCCATCTCACTCGGACTTTTTTCGGAAGACTAATTATACAATTGTTATATGCTTTTGCTCGGAGCCCTACGGGTTTTGCTTCAAAAGAATGGTGGTCGAAGCCTCAGAATCGAGGCCTTGAGCATCCTTGAGCTTCATACTCCAGGCCTCACTCATGTCGTAGGCCATGCATTTGGGATCTTCACCAGCTTCGTTGTCATCATAGCAAACCTGGCCGTATCCCCACGTATCTTGTGTTGACTCAACTCATGCAAAACAGGTGAGGGAACCAGCAAAATCACTGTACCTGCTGCTCAGTGCGGATGCTGATCGTTGCATTGCTGTATCTTCCGACTTCAAACAAGGGGCCTAACGTGGCCCGCCTTCGAACAGCTACAACTCGTGTTTTTGGTTTTCGTTCATGACCTCCTTCGAAACCGTTTGAGACTTGATCTGGCCAATCCAATCGATTGATATTAATGTCCGTGTTCATATAACTGTTCGAAATCTGACACCTCGAATCAAACGAAATGGCCGCATCTCTTTTCTGGAGCATTGGCAGTGGCACGCCAGTTCATCAGCGCATCACACCATGGTCTGTGGTGATGGGTAGATCCTGCACGATCTAAAACATCCGAAAAATGCCGAAAGGTCCAAGTGCTGTTACATGGTTTTGCTATTATTGCTATTGATATGTTCATGTCTATTCCTGTTTCTATGTTAATTCTGGTTCTAGTTCTATTTCTATCGTCTATTTCTTCCTCTTCTTCTTCCTCTTCAATTTCCCTGAGACAGAACAGTTAGCTCTAGCATGCTGCTACTCAAACCTTTGGTTGCTGAAACCATCACCCCACATGACTGAAGTGGTACCAAAAAAAAACACACACACAAAAGCGCTGCCCGCAAGATTGCCACCTGAAGACGGTTTCCGGCGCCTGATTTGCATCACCAAACCCATACATTTCACCTCCGCCAGATGAAGGTGGAGCCAGTTCCGCCGCGTCTGACGTACCTGGGACCCACACCGTTCCGTTCGTCGTACCTCGGACCTTCGGCGAACGGACCTGCTTCACATGGAAAACGGTCGGCTTCAGGGTCGACCGGTGGATCAATGCACCGGATGCTCCAAGGAGTGTGACTGAAGTATCTAAAGCCTTTAGTACTAGCTTCATGTTTTAGCAAGAATGTAGGAATCTAGTTCTGTCATATGGGCTATGCAGCGCAGAGTTCTGAACCAGTACGTCACTTTGAAACACCTTGGAAAGGAGTGACCTGTTCCTGCGTCATGGAATGTCTCTGCAGCTAAATCTCAAAGCAAAAACCTAGTTACTAGGAGATAGCACTGCTCCAAAAGTACCCACACTGTAGTTTTCTCCGCAAATCTTTGCTCCCGATCTGTGGATGGCCAGCTGTTGGCGGTCACCCACCATCGGGGCACGCTGAGGCATCCGGGAGGAGCTGCGACAAAGCTATAGCCGCCGGGGAAGTGCAGATCCTCAAGCAGCGGAGCAGCCGGCGACTTGTTGTTACCGTGTTTTTTGTTGTTTTTTCGGTCCGTAGATGCCCGAGGTACTTCGATTACTGTTCCAGGAATATGCTGCCAGTAATACATAGAAGTTGGCGTTCTCTATGCGATACTTGCATCAAGACGATGCAAGCCTTGCCCAATGACCGTAGGTGACTACAGTGACTACAGGCCTCATTCAAGTAGATCTCTGTAGGTGCTTCCTGCATGGCAGGGCAGCTGCACCAGAAAAAAGACTTTGAGGAGCCCAATAGCGATGGCCTGCAACCTTCTGGCGATGGCCTCCAACCTAATAGCGATGGCCTCCAACCTACTAGCGATGGCCTCCAACCTAACAGCGATGGGCTCCAACCTATGTCTCAGTGCAAATCTTGAGAACTTGTCCAATAGGGGATCTTCACATCACTTAATTGATTCAAACAACGGCGAAAACGGCGATGTTCACAGGCTGTCTCGTCAGTAAAGCAGGTGAAACATAACATATATCACTAGACTAGACTGGACTAGACTAGACTAGGCAAGAAGTCATTCTTCGTATGAAAGAGAGATCCTGTCGCTTTCATAGCGGCTTTCACTGGTTGTTGATCACTGGTTGTTTGAAAAGCCTTGAACAAGGCTTGAACTTGAACACCCCCTTCTTGCTTCCCCGTTGGCACCGCCGCATCTGGAGGCTTTGCGTGCGGAAACCGCGAAACCGCGCCTTCACAGTGGCGACATAGTCCAAGACGAAGCTGCGCTTGAAGGAGTCGTACTCCATTTTCAACGGTCGGCCAGCGATGGCTGGCGCATAGGTGCCTTGAATCAAGCGGCGCATGCCATGCTGCGGCTAGGAAGGCGCACCGGAACGGGTACCGGAACGGGGTATCGGAGGTACAAGCTGGACAGGAGCTCTAACACATGGTATTTTTGTTGGGCCACGGAAAGCTGAAATGCCACGGTGGTAGCGAAAGCGCTACCACCGGCCGACGCTTGGGTCCTCGCCGCCTCACCCTTTCCCACGACTCGGCGCCGCCCGGCCCTTTTCTCGGAAGGTGACGTTCGCTTGGGTGGGCAGCTGGCTCGAGATCCCGCTCGGCCGACCGAGGTCCCACCTGGCCGGTCTTGGAAAAGCTGACGAACAGCTGACTGCGCCTGAATTGGCTATTTTGAGAGGCTTCCAGAGAGACTACCTCAGATCCTTAAGAGGCGATCTGAAGAAAAGCGAGCAGTTCTGCCAAAAAAGAATCGGTTGTTGCTACTGTGTACTACTCCAAAACGAATGTTGCTACTTCCAGAACAAGTCTCACAAGTGACCTGAAAAATAATGGTGTCCAGTCGCAACAGGGCCTTCTGTGTGTGCGGGGGCATTCTCAACTTGCCTTCAATCAAGACGTAATGCCACACACTGGAAAAGTCTCTTCAAATGTGTGAAAATGTGCAGAATAGTTGCTCGAAAATGTCTGGGGCAATCAGGGTTTGGTGCACCAAAAGACACAACACCACAGCATTCCAATGCTAAGTGTAGGTCTTGGTGCATCCTCGAATTTGGGACAAGCCCAGTCTCAGTGATTTCACTACCGAGAGCTGTTCAGCTGCTGAATGACAACAACCGCAGCACTGCACTGCTGTGAAACACCACAAACTTCAGCCAGGAACCACCTGACCATTCAAAAGCTTAAACGCAAATTATCCTCACTTGAGGGGGAATAGGTGTTGTGAGGTGTTGTGTGACCACCAGCACAAACTCTCTCTCCGGCTTCAACTCCCAGGTGTGGGCCATGAAAGTCTACCAAGCACTGACCCACTTGTGTACACGAGCTATCAAGCTTCGCTGCTCCGCATCCCCAAGCTTAGCCCGCCGGCGTTTCACATCTCGCACAAACTTCTTGGGAGAATGGGCGATTTCGGTGCAGAAGAGCTCCAAATGGGCATTCCCGAAGTTGTGCAGGGATCGGTTGGGCTTGCAGGCAACGTGGATGGGAACCTCTCCAAACTCCGGATTCCAGGTGTAGTAGGATGAGCAAGGAGAGACTTTGCCTTCCAGGCAACGGCTTACTGCCAAGTCTGCCAAGTCACTCCAGAACTCTCGAGGGAACTCGGGGACCGGGTCCTCTATTGGCTCATCAGGCTTGCATGGAGGGTTCAAGGGTTTTTGCAGAGAGCCATCCAAGACCGCCCGTGGCTTGTGTGGTGCTTGGGACCCAAGGCTGGTCAACTGCGGATTGGCACTGCTTCGCTCGCTGGTGGACCCAAAGTCCATGGCGGAGGGGCCGAATTGGGCGTGTAGTCACAATCACTTGCAAGGTTTGCATGGTCTTTGCTCACAATCTGATGCATGTAAGTGATATATATATATACACATATGTATTGATATAAGTATGTGTCTGCTTTGACAAACTCTTCACGAGTCAGAGCCAAAAGAGATGGTCATGCCATATATGCATTTATATGTATTTATAAATATATGTAACAACACGAAATGTTGGCCTTCCAGCAGCTGAGAACATCCATCTTTTGCACCAGACTGTAGCCCTTCACTGGTTCGCCATATTCATCTTCAGATATCTTCCTACCATTTGAGGCACATATCTTCCTACCAAACATGTGTCCTCCGAGATGCGTGACAGTGCGCTCAGCTTGTTAATCTCGACCTGGCCATCTGGCGTGAAGATGGCTTCAGCAGTATTCGACTCAGCACGGAGCAAGCGAGTCGCGGATCAGCTTCATGTCCATACCGACGGGGTCTCAAAGGGTCGCCGGTCTACAACAGATCGAATTAATGGAGCTGTCAAGGTCTCATAGATCTCTGTCCTACTTCTACAAGAGATCGAATTAACTATAGATTATTCCTTTTTTCGCAAGAACCAAAAAAAATGAGTGATCAGCTTCCTCTGCACAGAACAAAAAAAAGTCCAAGCTGCCGTGGTGAAGTCACGGAAGGTCTTCAGCTGCCAATAGCTCCAGCTTTGAAAGTGCTTGTCCGCGGCATCCAGCAAGTCTTAGCATTGCTGTGACATGGCTGTGGGTCAAAACCTGGAGCCCTAAACCACAGTAGGTAGTCTATTCTGTTGATTTTTGGTGGTCAACCAGGGTTGCCGGGATTGCCATAACTCTTCGACTTGCCGTTGAGACAATGGCTGCTGACTACTGCCTCCGAGCCGCTTGTAATGTGTTTCATCTCATTTTTGTTGCCCCCCACAGCTCCAAACTCGGTCATGAAGCCCGGCATCTGGTACTTGTGGAGAAAGGGGTAGTATGTCCGCTCCTGACACAAATCCAACCCCGCCGTACCTGGTGACCTCCAGCCTGTGCTACAGACCGTGAAAGCTGCCAAATGAGTGCAAGCAGACCAGAGCATGCTTGTGTGAAGGTAAGTTGTGATGCAATCAACTGGAACATCTCTGGCAGTGTGGCAGTTCACACTGACCACACAGCTGCCTTACCACTCACTGACCGAGGCTCAAAGATCTCTTGGGCAGCATCGCACACGAGACCAGACGGCCAGTTATCTCCATCACCTTTGTGTCACACCGCACGGAAAATCCGCATCGTTTTCAACACACCTGTGACCTGCTCTGTTCCCAGTTGTGCAATCCATGTGTGTGTGTGTTTAATTGTTTCGTTTTTTTCGAGAGAACTGTCGGATCGCAATGCTTGATTTTACTGCACACATCAATGCCGCAATGTTGCTCAAAATAAATGTCAGATTCACAACTAGGAACAAGTACATCGCTACTAGGAGCAAGGGGCTTACTAGTAGTAACAAGAAGCTATTAGAAACAAGAATTAAATCAATAGTGCTATAGGCTTTTTCGTCCAGGCAGCGCAATGGTTCCATGCCTTATAACCGACGGGACCGACGTTCGACGTTCGCCCTGGTCGCCCGGGCCGCGCCTGGCTGACAATAGATATGATAAGCCAAGGCTTGTTGAGTCTCTGCGCCCAAAGCCGGGCCCGGAAAGACCTGAACGGCTGCGTAAGGTTCACTTGTACAACTCTCATCGTCATAGTCCAAACTGCACCAAGGGGCTGCGCGGGCTCATGCAAGGTTTGCGCAGCAAGATATTTGATCAGGTGGGTTTGGGTGCTTGGCGGACGAGGTTGGCAGGAAATCATTTCTACCCGAAGAACATTTGCATGATCTTGCAAGCCACACCAAAATACAGGATGTATGGTTTATAAGTACATTCAGAAGCTCCGTTTTCTTACTTTTTTTTCAACTCAATTTGATTCCAGCAGAGCCACATCAGCACCCACTTTGGGCCACACGGTTCCTTCATAGAAGATCACCTCCGGTGGTGCGGCTACTTCGACTGAGTCCTGTAAATCCTTCAGAGCTAACTAGCAGAACTGTGCAGAACTCTTGATTAGCATCAATGTCTGCCCATCGCCCGTATCAGCTTCCGGATGAAATGGCGACATGCTGAGAACCAACAAATGGTCACAAGGTAAGTGGGACCTCCGCAATACTTAAACCCCTTCAAAGATACCATGTATATAGGCTCATCCATCTTCACTCATCCCAGGGAAGCTCACAGGCTTCTAGCTTGAGAAATATCCCAAAAGCATCCAAAAGCATTGTATATAGTATACACTAGCAAAAGGCCCTTTTGCTGCGCAAGGTCTAGATCCTGCTTATACGTTGCCTGCTTGGCCCCAGTTTCTCGAATGGCTCGTGCGGCAGCTTGATAGAGCGGCGTCAAGTAGTAGGCCTGCCCGGGCAGACCGCGTCGACGGTCCGAATGATGACCGTGAGACTTCGACTCCGACAACAAGGACTGCTGCAAACGGTTGTTGTAGCGTCCGATCGCTCCGTTCGTAGCGATGCCCGGAGCCCCTAGTAGCGTCTTTGCTCCTGGTTGTACCAAAACGAAATTGACATTGAATGAAACGTGCGTGTGTCCATGGTGAAATGATCTCAGATCTGGCAGTTTTTTTCTGGTGCATGTCTTTTCCAGGCGCCTGTGTCGTTTCTTCGTTTCCCAGCCTCCACCTTGTTATTAAATTCCACTGGCATGGCATGACCACTGAGACGGCAGGCAAAAGCGTCATGCGCCTCCACTGGAAGTTGGATTGCTCGATGGAGTGCATGGAGATTGTTCATATCTTTGGGTTCCAACCAAACACCGGTTTGACCGAAAAAGAATATACGGTTTGACTACTCAGTACTACACTTTTCCCTGTGGATGTGTGCGAAACATTCCCCATGGTCAACTCCGATGGCCAGCATGCAGCTCACTCACTTTTCGTCTCCACTGGCCTTCAAACATGTGCCTGAGGGCTCATTCAGCAGCTCATAGCCCAAGAGATTCGGATCATCCTCCGTTCGATTCGAATCGTGAGAGATTTCAAGTGGTTGTGGCCCTGGAGGAATGATGGAACCCTGGAGGAATGGTGAAGTCTTTGAGTATCCTCAAATGGACTATGAAAAGTCCACTGCAATGATGGCAACTTGAGCGCTTCTGATCCACCAACATCTCCCCTCTTTGAAGCACCATCTGCTACTCCCTCCACCCCTTGCTCACCCGAGACGGCGCGGATGGTTCGTTCCGAACCCTTTGCCTTGAACTCATTGGATATCGCTGTCCAGAAACGCAGGAAACCATCTTGTAGCCTGGAACCTTGGCGGTTCCGACACGTTCCGACACGACCCACGCCGCCCGTGCAAGCTCGCGCCCGCGCGCCCGCGCGCCCGCCGCACCCGTGCCGGGCCTGAGCGGTATAGCTCAGCGAAGAGAGCACCCACTTGGTAGGTGCTGTAGTACTCGCTGAAGAGCCTGGAGTTGGACCAAGTCCAGTTTCGAAAAGCCGGGCTGTCCATCCAAGCCCTGATGTCGCGGTGATGGTACTAGTATCAAAAAAGATATTTAGAAGGAAGTCAACCTCTGTCAGATGATAGAAAGATTACTCCCTTCAGTGCATCTGCCGCCCCTCCACATTGCAGCGTAGCCGGCTGCTTAACCAAACTGATGGGGGCGAATCATGGCAAGTTCGTCAACCACTTCTTGGATGGAAGTGGTCTCTATTCTCCACCACAAGTTGCAGCAACATCATAGCTTCAAATCCTGGATTTGCCATCAAGCTATAGCCTATGTCTCCAATCCTCTCTGTGTCCGCCCGAAAACCGGTGCCTCTGCAAACATCCTTGGAGGCTCGGGACACCACTTTCGTTCCGCGGAAGATCTGGAAAGGGATGTGGAAATCTGGGCACCTCAGGAACTCGAACAATCTCGAAAAGTCCAGAAGGAGAAAGTCATCGAGTCATCTACAAGTCTATCTGCTTCATCAAGTCATCTACAAGGCGATCAAACATCTGTGGCATGCGACCCTGAACAGCTTCCGGCTGAATCCTGCGAACATGGATGAACTATGAGGAAAGTCATCTGCTGGCTCAAAGGAGAGCTCTGGATGCAGCGAGCGAGCGGGGTTCCTGGGCGCGCCTGCGACATCTGGCTGCTTGGATCTCGAAGAAGTTCCTCCACGTAAGCCTCACGTGGATCGATCTGGACATCTGCAACGCTCATGACGTTCAATAAGCAGCTTCAAACGTTCAAAGCGCCTGGACCTGCCCAGTCGAGGAAAGCCGATATTGGAAGGAACTGTTCAATGATCATGGACCAAATCTGGCCACTCTTTGCTCCTAGTAGCTTCTGTTTGAGAACCTGCCTCCGGAAATCCCTCACCACAGAAGTACCGAGACCCCAAGTCCTGGCATGATAGGACGCAAGGAGAATGCGAATTCGGGAAGACGTGACGTGCGCATGGCTCAAAACAAAATGTCTATATGAAAAAACGTTAAGAAAAAGACTTTAAGGAGCCTATATAATACTAAGAGTGATGGCCTCCAACCTAAGAACGGCACATTGTCACGTAGTCTTCCCATTGCCTCTCTTCCTTTTTGTTCTACACCATGTCAGCTATCAGCCATGAGCACCAGCCACATCCATGTACAGCAGCCATGAAGCAGTGACCCAAATTTCACTCATGACTCATCGTTCGTCCTGGTGGAGATCAGCTAAGGTGTGGATCCCTCTTTTCTTCAGTTCATCGACGACATAGCGGACGCGTTGCAAATAGCCTCGGCTTCTTTTTTCGCAGCATAGCAGCTTATTTAGGTGTGGAGGGTGAAAAGAGCGCCTGGTCGTAAGCTCAGCTGAAAGGTAGTAACTGGTAACCCTCTTTTTCAGGCTACGAGAGGCGCCTTCACATCATATCAGAAACAGCTAAACTCTGCTTTTGAAGCTGGGACCAAGTGGCCTTGATCCACTTGACCAGGCTCTGGTTCCACCCCAGGCCACATCACACCCAGACGGACCACATTGAAGCCCCACTCCTTCAGAATTGGACCTTCATCTAGGTCGAAACCTCTGTTTGAAGGCATCTCCACTTATATAAGAACTATCTATCAAACTATTAACTATCTCATAACTATTAACTATTGACTATTAACTATCTCCACTTATTCTTAACTATTAACTATCTAATAACATCTGTGGACAGTCAAAAGCAGTCGGGCAGGGTCCGGTGCCTGCTCTCTTAGGATCTGAGATGAACGCTATTTACTCTACATAAGGCCGACCACAGCAGAAACCCACTAGTTACGATCCATCTCAATCAAGACCCTCCGAAAATCAACTCACAAGTCTGGATGGAGAGCAGAAGTTGGCACTTATTTATAGATCCACAGGAAAAAAAAACTCCTGGAGCAAGTCCATCGTCTTGGCATCCAGTGAGTTGTCAGATGTGAAATGATCCGTCTGAGGTAGCCAAGGTGGCACCTCAAGGAGGGCAGCGGAGGGCAGCTTGGCCGTTCTATCCTTGTGTGAGTGTGTGTCTGAGACTGAAGCATCTACCATCCAAGACCTGGAGACCGAACCAAAATCTATCCAAAATCTGCCACAAGCTCCGAACCGAACCAAAATCTTGTCTGCTGACATGTCCTGCCCCTCCCAATCCCCCGCGAGTTTCGCCTTCAGAACCGCATTCACTCCATGGAAGATGCGAACACGGCCGTAGGTGTCCACAAAGTGGCCCGAATGTGGATCTACAAAGATGTGACCTGCCGGGACAAATCCATCGCTACGAACGGGGCTGGCATCGCTACGAACGGAGCAAAGGACGCTACGAGCGGGGCTCCTGGCCGTACTACTAGGAGCAAGTAGCTACTAGTAACAGAGAAGCTATGTTATTTTTGAGTTGCTCACACTCGTCCAGATTTCCCGACCTTCCTGGGAGATCAAACGGTCTTCCCTGGGGAAGAGAGAAACATAGAGAAACACACCTGCACTGCCGACTGCGGGGGAAGGCTGTTCCTTTGCCCAGGCATCATAATCCTTTGAAGTGTCACAGGGACAGCACATACCGCTCGCCCTTCGACCCAACCCTTTCGCCATCTGCCGCAAGCATCCACGCCTGGCTCCCCATCAGCTTGAGCTACAAGCACTATGCAACCAGCCAGAAGCCACCGAGGATACATCCGAGCTCAACCTCAATGACATATGTGCAACTCATTGGGTGACCGGACCACTGACATACTCAGCGTAACCACTGAACCACCACCGGACCGACCACCATACTCAGCGGCATTGTTGTTCAACGCATCGAAGAATCTGCGGGAGTTTGGGATCCCTGTTGAAAGCAGAAAAAAAGGCAGTTCACGGAAAGGTCACTTTTCAGTCACTGAAGTGATTGAGATTCTCTTGAGTTATTGAGTTTCATTGGCCAGGGCATGCCAGGGCACTGTCCAACAAAAATCCGAGCTCGTCTTTTGCGCAGATGGCTCTTTGTTGGCAGTTGAGTGTATCTGAGCTTGCGGATTTGCATACGCACAAGTCCTGATGACCTCTTAAAGTCTTACGTAAGGATATGTTCTGTGGAAACCTCCAGATATGTTCTGTGTGGTCGACCTGCTTGGCGGGGACCGAATCTTTCATCTGTGGCTGCTCCAAAGCTATGAATTCTTTGAGCCGAGAGTGACCGGTTCTCATACAGCTAAGCAGGGTTGTGACGACAACCCGGCTCAAAAGGCAGCACAAAGTAACACACCCAAAGTCAGCTGATTCAACTATCCAGCTGCGTGTCGTGTTCATTTCATCATGTTGGTTCTTACTGTGCGTTGACCTAATCTCAACAATATCCAAAATCTGCATGGTTATTCAGCCCTGCTGGAACACTTTGCCAAACTTTGGTCAAGCACTCGCCGGTTGGAGCCTCATAGGCCTCAGCCTCTTTCAAGATATTCTGCAGCTCTGGAGCTATTCTGGGCCAGTGCTCCTCAGGCAGAAGGAAGCTCTCGTCAAGTGGACATGCGTCCCAAATGTGCAAATGTGGTGATTCTTCTTGAGACCAAGCACACCAAAAAAAGAAAAACTCATGCGGACTTTCAGGGTTTATAAATCAAAGTCACAACTGATTGACTCACTAGATGCAGCAAATCAAACAGCAAACAACAACAGTGCCAAAGTTTCCTTGATCAAGGCAACGAGAAAGCAAGCGGCACGTTTTGGAGTCTCCTTCTTCACAGGTGTGTAGCCGAAGGCAATAGCCAGCTTGTCATATGCCCCAATGACCGGCCCAAAAGCATGAACCTGGAAACTGCTACTGCTACGTCTGCTATGAAATCTGCAAAAGCTGCTACTGCCGAGTTTCCTGGAAAAAAAAAACTACGAAGAATGGTAGATGATGGCTGGCAGCTGATTCTTGTTCAGCAGAGAAATGTCCTCCCTCTTCGGACACAGGGCCTCATACGTCCTCCCTCCCCGCCTTGTCGGGATCATCGGCATCCGGGATATTGGTGGGCACGTAATCCATGACCTGAGACCGAACGGCTCCGATCTCCGATCCGAAGAAAAACCCACCGAACGGTGCTCGTTCAACGTCGATCCTTTGAGCCCGACGGAGGCTGAGAGGCCACTCTTCGCAGTGCAGGCCTTGTCCTGCGGGACTCTCCAGCAGTCGGCAGGAAGCGGGGGCTGGAGAAAAAGAACCAAAGTCCCAAAAAAGAACGAAGGGCATCACCTGCTGGGCCAAATCTATCAGAATCTATCCATCAGTATCCAAAAAAATCACCATCGAACCTGCTGGCAGAACTGCCATGACGTGCCTGCATGATCAACAGCTTCGGACGAATGAACCGGTCCCTGTCTCGGTCCTGTAAGCACTGCAAGGAGACGCCGAGGCTTCCCTTGAAATTGTGCCGAAGTCCAAGGATGTGGCCCGTCTCATGCATGACCTCGGAGGAAGGGGATCGTTTGCAGTGGATATTTTTAAGTGGATGACTTCATGGATGGCTTCACATTTTCAGTGGAGGGCTTCCAATGACATCCAATGGTGTTCTTTCGTGCTCCTCAAAAGACCTCTTCCAGGCTCCAGGCTCCCTGATTGGAAACCCTCCAACTTCTCATCCCAGGCACAATGGATTTCAAGCCTTCGCCCAAGAGCTTCTCCAGGTGCGAAGCGTTCAGACCACCTCGTGAGACCAAGCCAAGGCGTCTCCTCTCGCCTCAGCCAGTCCGGACCGCCAGTCCGCGGACCGGGCGCAAGGACCGCGACTCAGGCCGTGACCTCGTTCTAGCCGAAGCCCATGGAGCCCAGCTCTGAGTCTTGCCCCTGAAGGCCCAGTCCGACCGTGCGAGGCGAGGATGGACTGTGGGCGAGACGTGTCGCAGATGCTGCAGAAACAAAAGAGACGTCTCACCTCTTGACGACCGCCTGACCGCCTGACCGCTGACCCTTTGAATGTGTGAAACCTGGAGCGAAGTGTCCTCGTCCACTTCGACACGTGCCTGGCCTTGCTGCAAAAGACCGTTCTTCCTGGCGAAGCTCGTTGAAGATCGTTGGGCTTGATGTAAGGTCTTTTGCGACTGGGGAAGATGCTGAAGATCAGTATTGAAAATCCAAGTTTGAAGGGTTTGAAGGGTGTGTCACTTTGGTTTCTGGTCAAGGATCTTGAAGGAACCAAAGTCAAAAAAACATTTGAAATGAATAGGAAGATCATGGAAGATCCTTCAACAACAGCTCAAATAAAAAGAAGAACTCGATCACTTTCGCTCCCGCCATTCTCCCGCCTGGGTGACGAGGTCGGCACCAGCTGGTGGGTCAAGCCGGGCGCCAAGTCATCCAAATCTTCCAGCCATGCCTTGATCCAGCCTGAGCTGAGCTGCAGACCGGTCGTCCGTGGACGTCGGGTTTTTGTGGGCCCCGAGCTGGTTTTTAAAGTCCTCAGACTGGTAGATCCGAAAAATTCCAGGGTTTAGGGGCCCTCAAGGGGATCCTTTCCTGGAAATTCAAGGGGCCAAAGGGTCTTTGGGGGCCCCTGAAGGATCATGGGGAATCTATATTAGCTTTCGCTTCAGTCCGGTCTCTTCAGTTGATTTGGTATCAACATTCATGTCATGTGGTCTCAACATGAACTCAGAAGTCGTGAGAAATCATCATCATGTCACTGTTCTTCATCGACCGTGTCCTCTTTTCCATGGTCCTCCTCCGATCGTTTTGGTACTAAAACGGCCACAAGGCCGGCCATGTGGACCTCGTGTCCTCAGCTCGAAACCACTCGCCATCGTGATGTCACTCTTGATGATCTCGCCGCTGCGAGGATCCACCTCTGCCGTGAAAGGATCGAAGCAATTTCGTCCAGAGCAGCGTCCGAAGGCATGCAAAGGCGGGAAAAAAAACTCCCCTTTTGGGGGCAAAATTGGACTCACGTTTGCCAAGGTGTCAGGTCCATTTCCCTGAAACGTCAAGCTTCATGGATCAAACCTTTGGCCTTCGTTGGCTTTGGATGTTTTATCTTGCGGAACTATGGTCGCATGTTCAAACGGAAGGAAGGTGGCTGTGTTGGAAGGCTGACTACTCCTGGCCAGCGCACGACGTTTTCTCTCCCCTTCTCACTCCGATGGAATCTGCGCCTTTGCAATGCCCATACTCACCACTTCATCTGCCAGGGCAAGTTGATGAAATGTGACAGCCAACTGTTGCTCTTCTCAATTCAGATAGATCCAGCTCTCCAGCTCTCTCCCCCGGTTCCGACGACCCGCGGCGGAACCGCCTGAAAGGTCCCAAGAGATGGTGCTAAAGCGAGCATCTGAGATGTCATAATCCTGCGGACGGCGAGCCGTCCAAAACCGAAGCGAAGCTGCTGTTGCAAACGCTGCTTTCACCGCTGAGTGAATGCCCGAAAGTTCTTGTAATCTCCGTCATCCACGTGAAAAAGCTTCGAGTGGAAAGCTCTTTAGTCCTCGGGCCAATCCTGGCGTGGCGAGACACGCCAGATCAAAAGAAAGAAAATGCGAGTTTGGGGCTGAGCATGGAACCCACGCCCTTGGCCCATCAGGTCCATCAATAAATCTATGGAACCAAACGTATATATATATATATATAATACTAGTATAGTATATAGAGAAATCCCCCTTGGAATTCGCCCACCCTCCTGGACTGTCTGATTCTTTAGAGGGCCACCTGCCACCTGCCCCCCTGCCACCTTAAAGAATGCTCAATCCACAGTGCCCACTCCAACATGCCAGCTTAAAGAATGAGGACTCTGCCAACACATACTGGACACTGGCCCTAAAAAATCAGGACACTTTGAGCACAGTGCGCACACACCTGTGACACCCGGACTCCCCCTAAAGAATCAGAACACCGGTACCAGTCTATGATGACAACAGCACACAACCATCCATATCCGATAATATCATACAATATCATATATATCATGTATCTTCATCATTCCTCATATATTTCCACTTGATGCTGAATGGTTTGGCTTTACATCCAACAATATCATACAATATCACACAATATCCAACAATATCCATCAATATCCGATATCCAACAATCTCCTTCACAGGACAGTATATGCATATAATTGCAAGTATAGGAAAATGTTTGAAGAGTGATGAAGAGTGATCATCATTGAACATTGTGATGTTATGACATGCTCACTTTTGATAAAGGACAATAAAGGCATTGACATTGGATGCCAATGGCAGTGATCTCCAGGCTGAAAGATGCGAGCGCGTGGCAAAAAGTGCACCTCTAAAGAATCACACTCCGCTGCCTCTCTAAAAAATGCATGGGGTTCTCTAAAAAATGCATGGTGTTCTCTAAAAAATTGCCCTGTTTTTGACAACCCGAGTTGGCTGATTCTTTAGAGGAAATACCAAGGGGGATATAGAGAACTGCTTAAAATGGAAGGAATCAGATATACTGCACGATGCCGCTCGCAAGGACCCGATGCACACTGGCAAGCCGCCTTGTCTCCAGGTACGATGCCCTTCACGACTTGGTGCGCATGGAACGAGAAGGCATCGTTCCACGCCTCCGAACGAATGTTTCAGGTGGCGAAACATCCAGAGGAAGGACCCGAACGTTCGACTATACCATAGGTACTCTGAGGTGGGGTCCTATTTACAGTCACTTAACCTCTCTTGGTCTATCTCCAGCTTTGGTGGCGAAACATCTGCTCCAACCGCACCAAAGCCCCCAGTGTTTGGGGCAACATCTTCCTTCAGATGCAGGTTCGGTTTTAGACTTGTGACAAGTTGAGATATTCAAAATGCTTCTGACTGCCTTTCCTGCCGCGTCCTGCGTCCTCCGATCCGTTCGCGTGAACTCGGTCGCCTCAATGCCTTTCCGAAACCACTCTCGCCATCGATGAGGGACGGAGGGATCGACATGCACACCTGCGGCGTTTCAAGGCGTAAACCGACCGAGAGTCGACTCTCGTCCTGGAAAGTTCGGATGTAGCGTCCTCTTGTTCCTAGTATTGAGGCCAGGAGCCCCGTCCGTAGCGTCCTTGCTCCTAGTAGTAAGGCCAGGAGCCCCTGGTAGGTTTTTTTTGTTGTTGCATCATGGATCAGGAAAAGAGCTCTCAAGGACCAACGGACAAAGATCACAAAGATCACAAAGCAAGAACTCCACTCTCAGCTCCGAACGGATTTCTCTCCCTGGAAGCACCTGTCCGAAGAGGAAAATAGAAATAAAAAACTTACAAATAGAAGGGTTTCTACTAGAGGAAATGGTCAAGAAGAGTCCTGAAGTCCTCATTTTCTGGAGTCCTTTCTAGTCTTCAAGAACATATCTCCATGAAGAAGACGTCCTCGACTCGTCGATCTGCATGATCGACTCATCGATACAAACCGCACAAGCGCTGTCCATGCATGTCCATGCATGCTTCAAACATTGCTCTGGCTCAGTCGCTACTTTCGATGCGCAGTCGCTCAGGATGCAAACAAAAATCATCCTCTCCCTTCAGCTCACTGGCTCTCTGGGGTAAAAACATACATGATTATAGATGTATTATTGTGTTTTCTTTTCCTCAGCGGCTCGAAGGTCGTCATGACCTCCACACATCTCTCCAGGCTACACAACCGTCCACCCAACGGCGTCCGTCTACCCGACGCCTCCAGGTTGTACCTCCAAATCATCGCACTTTGGCGATCCACGGCGTGGCTGGGAGCCTCCTGGGCCACAGCTTCGCGGTAGCCCAGGTCCTGGAACTCCGAGGCGAAGAAGAGCAGCCTGCAGCTTTTGGTGCTCCAGTGGGCGGTGGTTCCCGGTGGGATGCCAGAGGACCCGGGTTGCCTCTTTGTTGGTGCGTTCTTCTTCTTCTTCGGGGATCGGGGGGCGCATCTTCTTCTTCGGCTCGCGCCCTGCCTATCATCACTGGCGCGTGGCGTCATCATCTTCTGGCCGGTTGAAAGGATTGAGTTCGGATGTCCCAGGAGTCCGAACTCGAATCCAGCAAGGAGTCCGGATGTTCGACAAACACAAACTGATGGTTCGACTTGACCACTCTGTCACCAGGTCGACTTAGGTCGAGGAAAGGTGCTGCAAGCGACGCACCATGTGTTTTCTGTCAGGGAGCATCCTTGCCAAGGCCTTTTTTGAGTGAAAAAAAACCGACTTTTGTGCCCTGCCTTTGGCAACAGCACCAAAGAGAAGCCAACCTGAGTTTTCTGCAGCAACCACTGCCTTCCCTAGAGCTCTAAGTCACAAACCCCGCCGGCGGCCCCGCAAGGCTCCGGCCTTCATTGGTGGCCGATCACCTCAGTAGCAAGGGACCACGTGCTTGTCTGAGAGGGTAGATTCTTGAGTTCATCTTGACCTGCTGAAGACATATTGTCACTGAAACCCTTAGGGTTTAGGGACAGCACAGAGCATGCAGCTGGGAGGACAACATGCCCCAGCTAAGGAGCTGAAAAAAAGAAGGACATCTTTTGAGCATCACACCCATCACGTACTCCACAGACACATCCACATTTGAGCGATATGATTTCGCCTTAGTGGATCAATGGTGATTTCGCCCGCCTCACATCGGCGAGCCTCTGCTCCACTGCGCTGGTCCCATGTTCTGAGCTGGGGACGTCTAGAATTCGAAAGTCCAGGGCATCATCCGCCGTGTCAGCGGCCTCGGCTAGAATTGCTCGTTTCAGCAGCTCGTTTCAGCTGAAATGCTCTGGCTGGTGCTCGTCTGAGCGGTCCGTAGTTCTCTCTCTTGGTTGGTTTCAGACAGAAATTACACCATGGCGAATGGTCTTTCATAAATGCAAGCTATATACACAGAAATGCATAACTCCTCATCTTGACACCTTGCGCAGGCACAGCCACAAAGGGCAATCTCAGCGTCAAACAGTATAAAAGCCTTCCCAAATCAGTTTCCTGCCATCGATTACTATGGGATCCTTGTCCTGCAGGATTGAAGCAAAGAAGGATGGCAGTGTTTCTCATCAATTGATCTGAATTTGAGCTTGGATGTTCATGCTGTAAACATCTTGGGAAGCTGGCACGCGGACTTTTGCTCTACATCATCTCCCTCGCTACCTCTGTAAGAAGCTAAGAAAGGGGATTACTTGACTGGAGCAGGTGCATTCTATGCAAGTGCAGTCTGTCCAACACAGGAAAGACCACATACACCTGCCAAGTTATCAATTTGTTGGAAAATGCGCTGTGCAATGCGCTGTGCAAGGGAATCTGTACAACCATCCCAGAGCCCTTGAACCGTGACAGATCTCTCACAAAGATAAAGAATCCGCCCCCGAAGCACAGACAGAACGTTCATGAACTTTGTGTTGCCCCCGTTGAGTTGGGAAACCAACGCTACTGAAAAGCTTGTAGCTGCATCCGCTTCGGTCACTTAATGGGTCGGGATGCTGTGAATTTGGCCTTGCGACGGTGGCTCTCGTGACCACCCCGACTGCGACGTCGCCCACTACGTCACCGCTTTGATCTGTTTAGATCTCAGCAGAAAGTCGGGCATCGACATTGGTCTGTGATTACAGCATGAAAGGAAAGCGAAGAAATGCCTTTACAACTTGCATGAAAGTCAGGACTTGGTGCTGACTTGCATGCCACAAAATGATAAAATCCGACTACTCCAACTCACTGGTCTTCAGCTGAAGAATGTCATCATGTCATCCAGGTTTTTGCTGGGACTTGCTCGCACAGACAAGCGCCCAACCAAAGACAAGCGGGCCTAGCACTGGCATCGGGCACGCAATTCCATGTTTGATCTTCAATAGTTTCCTCATTCCGCAGCTACAGCAGGACAGGACTACAATTAGCAAGCAGTAGCTGCTGATTCCATCCGTTGCAGTTGATGTGTGTTGAAATGTACTATATATGTTTTTTCAATTTTATATAGGCTCTGCCAAAAGAGCCGCTGATTCTTGGACAGCCCAAGCTTCAAAATTCAACAACTACCAACGGCCTCTCCATCAAGGAATCCGCTGAAAATGCCATCTGCATCGAAAATCAGCCATCCCAGGTATTCGTTGAAGCCCTGTGGGCAGTGACACGTGCTGCTTGACTGGACAGTAATGGATATCCAGCTCATGCGTCCGTTCTTGGAAACATCTTCCTAATGTCCAGAAAAATTACATTACAGGACTTTGGGCACCTTCTAATATCTTGTCTACTGTTCTTTCATTGGCCTGGAGTCCACCAACATCCTTTGGAGCTTGGCTTGTTAGCACAGTTCTTAACGGTGAGTCATCGGCATTGAATGCATATGAATGCATGGGGTACTCCTTGATGTCGTCGATCTTGGACAATATTTGATGCTTGTCTTCAGCTCGGGATGCTTCGCAATCTCGGATATCCTCGATTTCTTGACCGAAGCTACCTCTTACACACGAAGACGGGAGAAAAAAACAAGCAAAAAACGAAAAAATTGAATAGCCCCAACTTGTTCATGTATGGTCTCTCTCGTCTAGAGCAATTCGTTGGCGACTAGCATCCAAGCTCTTTAGCTTGTCGTAATTGTCATCCAAACATGAAGTGGAGTGCATCAGTAACTTCTGCCTGGAGCATCCAGGAACTCTTGACAAAACACACATGGTGACGCTGGTGATTTCTGGCGCTTCCAAATGTAGCCATCGCAAGTTCAAAGGAACAAGCAGGCCTGATGTTGAGCGCACTTCCTTCTACGATCTCAGCCTAAGCACAACTCGCAGGAGAACTTCACTGAAAGGTGCCAGTTCATCTGCTCTACCCTCTTCAACTTGAGCAGGAGCCTCATTTTACAGGGTCTTTTCTGCACATGGCCATACCTCAATGACTCAATGATCCTTAAGCTAAGCAGCCACACACCATGCTCGCTTGAAGACCTCGAAGTTCTCATCACCCACGGTGACATGAACGAAGTTTGGCACTTCCCGAGCCAGAAACCTGGCGGCGCAACGTCGATCCGATCCGTGGAGTGGTCGATCCGTGGTTGTTGGGCATTCCGGATGGGTCGGTCTGGCTGTTGCGCTGGCAGGGTTTTTCTTTGTTCGCCGGACCTGCGCATCGAACGTCGAAAGTCGCCTCATGAGATCATCGAATTTGTTGAGCTCCGTCAAGGCCGCTTCGTTGTTGAAGTACTTCTTTCGGCCACAGGGGCATAAGGGGAAGATGTCCTTAGCCGACCCAACACAGCCTTCCTTCTTGAACCTATCTGGCACCTGTAAGGACCTCAACACCACTGGCGGGATGAAGCCCTGCCAATCATCATTCCCAAACATGAAGCTCTTGTCTATAGGTCCTAAAGCCTGCTAAAGGACCTAAAATGGTGCATATGACCACCCTAAACCTGGCCATGCCCTCCCTCCCGCCGAGCTGCGCCGCTCACGGAGTTGCGTCGCTTGGCATCCCAGGCCTCGAACTCGCCCGGCGAGGAGTGGGACTTTTCGGGTGCTGGGCCAAAGCCACCACAGATGCTGGCGTGTTGGTTCACAGAGAAGACCTCAGCATCACTCACTTCTTGAAGTTTCCTTGGAAAAGCGGCAACAAGTGTGTCTTGTTGTCTTTTCTGTTCTAAAGAAGTTGTGAATCATCGAAGGGTTTCTGTGAGATTCTGAGTAATCTCTTGGACTTTGCAGGAAGGGTCCCGAATCGGTTCGGAAAGTTCGCGAACGTCAAGAACCGAAGTTTTTCAGGAACCGAATGTAAACAACCGTCAATCTTCCAAGTACAACCGAGCCAAAAAGAAAAACAAACCGTTCCGCTCTATTCCGAGGTCAATCAGCAAAGCGCAAGGTCTTGGAGTTTCAGAGCAGCAGTCCCCCACTGGAGTGCCCGTACAGCATGTCACTGGCACAGCCCGGCTTCAGGCGCATTCATAAAATGCTGTCCTTTCCTTTTCCTTGCTGTCCTTTCCAATATGCTTCTTAGACGGCATGGAAAATGCACTTCACAAATTGCATTCCTACCTTTCCATGTCCATTTCCTTTTCCTTCCGTTGCTTTCCGTGACATTGTCCTTTCCTTTCCTTGTCCTTTTCCCTTCCTTTCCAATATGCCTTTAGGCTGCCTGGAAAAGTCCCTGGAAAAGCATATTCAGAAATTGCATACCTTACCTGTCCTCTTCCCGTTCCTTTGCTTTGCTGTCCTTTCCAATACGCTTTTTGGAAGGCCTGGAAAAGCCTATTCACAAGTTGCATTCCTTCCCCCTGCTTTTCCTTTTCTATTCCTTTTCTTTGCTTTCCCTTCCTTTCCTTATATATGCCTTTCCTTTCCTTTTGCTTTCCCTTTTGCTCCTGTCCTGTCCTGTCTTGTCTATAGTCCAGTTGGTCTTGTCTCTTTATCATTGCGTTTCTTTTCGTTACCCCACTGCGTAACTTATGCCTCACAGAACCGAACGAACCGTGAACCGAACCGACGGATAGTCCATGAAAAAATACTTCTACAACCAAATCGAACCGATTCGAAGTTTTAATTACACATTCAAACCGATTCCAACCGAACCGAAACCTTACGGACATTGGCACAAGAAAACGACGACACATCAAAATAAGAATGATATCTGAAGTTATCTGAAGCCAAGATTCACACACCCAGTAAGTGGTATCGATCTTCTCCGAGTCCTCAAGGGAAGCCTTGAGTGTCTGGAAGTCTTTCAACTTCTCCAGAGATGCCACCACATCTGCGAAATAAGCCTTCAGCATGCTCCATCTGCGGGTCTCTGCGTTTCTTTCTTCAAGCGGAGAACGGCTTCTTTACGACGCCAACGGCTTCTTTCACGGCTTGCAGCTCAGCGTCGCAGCCGGTGGCATCCGAAATGATGGCAGCAACCTTGGAAGAAAACCATCGAAAGAACGTTGTACCGGTGTTCGCCCGTCCGGCGTTTTTTGCCACACTTGGTTCTCGCCACTGGCTATTTGGTTTGATTTGTTTGCCAAATTGTGGGCACTCAGCAGCGTTGCCCATGGTGCCACAATCCATGCATGAGGACTCAGTTCGTTCCAAAGGCCAAAGCGATTCTGGCCAAGATGCTAAGTGAGAGAAGCGATTTCCCCAATTGTGGGTCACCTAAGCTCCAAGTACAAATGACCCAAATGCTTGCACTCACTACTATAGTACCAAGGGCATTACTACTGGTAGCAAGAAGCTACTCTTAGCATGGGGCATCGCTACTAGTAACAAGTTCATCACTACTAGCAGCTAGAAGCTACCAGTAACAAGGGCATTCAAAAGCACATCCGATATTTGCTCCATTGCACTGAACATCACCTGAACGATGCAGTGCGGTGCCAGCTTCAAATTGCAGCCCGGGGACCATGCGTTCCGCCAAACGCGGTTGCCTTGCCAGCTTGCTGCGTTGAACAGCCGGAACATCCAAGGAGCAAGTATGACACAGTTTCAAAGAGTGGCCACACGCCGTAATACGCGAGCTAAGGTCGTCCAAGGTACTGTTGGTTCCATATAGAGGCCAGTGCGAAGCCGTCCTGGTTTCGCATGAAAAGTTGGGAAAACGAAGAAGACGTGACCATCCCATGGAATGTCCTGACCCACTCGCGACATGGGGATCACCGCTTCTCGTGCCACATCATTGGTGGTTGAGTAGCGTGGATCAAAGCTTGGCATGGCCTTGAGTCGGCAAAGCTGCCAGAAAAAAGATGCTGCCTTGAGCTGGTTCAAGTTGAGCCCTACAAGAACATTGATCAAATGAAATCAGCAAGGACTTGTGGAGAAATCCTAGTCCGGAGAACTGTGTTCCAAGTCTTCGCCGCGAAACGCCTCAGCCCTAAGACTCGGGCCCCTTCTAGAAGCTGCTGGTAGAAGTCCAGGAGATCACCCAGCCGCACACCTTGGGGACACCCATCTGGGTCACATGGGGCATATGGCAGGTTACATCTCAAGAAGTGGCTTCTCTGTGAGCTACGTCTCATCCTCTGTTAGCTAAGTCCTCAGATCGCCATGCAGGCAGCTCCGCTCAACACGGCGACACCCATGACGTCTGCGACCCCGTCCGCCGACGACGGCGTGCGGCAGACTCCCCCGAGGACGGCGCCGCGGCCGGCCAACTCTGCAACCTGGAAAGATGTCGAGAGACGGAGCAGTGCTTTTCTGTGCTTGTGCTCACGAGGGTGGAAACGAGCAGTGGGAAGAGTGGGGGGTTCATTTGAGCAACTAAAGCCTTGAAAAGACATGTTAAGACATGGATCGATCTCAAAACTGGGCGACCTCAACAAAACCCTTAGAAGCGAAACAGGATGAATGATGAATCTCACTGAAAAGGGCGATGAAACCGACGCCCCATTGAAAACTCATCCGCTTGGAACAACAAGGGTCAACCCGCCTTGGCAGACCATGCCGCTTCGTGACTGTCGTTGGCCACTTGCCGTGTTGGGGCAGGAGGCTTGGCAGCACGGCCACCGTTCCTTAGGATCAAGTCATGGTCAATGATGGAGAGTGAGCTTTTTGGGGGAGGTGGGCAACGGAGTGAGCTACTAGCAGCTGGGATAAGTAGCAACTTCGACAGCCACTCGTTCAGACGTCGGACATCTCAGCCCTTCTGAAGGAAACGCAACCTGTGTGCGCGTGCCTGGCGTGTCATGGTCCTTACAAATAGCCTTGCATGGCTCCGCAAGATCTATACTCTATACATCTCTATTACTATGTCAAGAATAAAGGGTAAGTAATGCCTAGTGTTCCATCATCATCCCCATGCAGTGACATTGCTCCGAGAGGCGTCTGCATGAGCCCACTGAGCATAAGGAGACCCCAGGCATCTGCAACACCAGTCATGCGCTTCATGGAATGGAGCAGGATGAAATAGACCTGGCGGGCCGGTGGTCGTTCTTCAGAAGCCTCATATGCTCCTCTCATCTTCTCAAATGTGGCATGTCGATGCAAATTCCTATTCACTCTAGTAGAATCTTGGCCTTGAATCTCTCCCCCAAACGCGAGCTGCTCGTGTTTCAGAGGCCTAGACTCGCGTTTGGTTTGGCCGAGCCCGACCGACCTTGCTATACTTGGCCACTCCACAAAGGCCAACAATGCCTGGGCTGACGTGGGCGGTCGAGTTTTAAGGGCGCCTAGTAGCTAGAAGCTACGAGGTTGGAGGCCATGGCTAGTTGCTCATGTGCTACTAGTAGCTAGAATCAAAAGCGCCATAGCCACCCTTGCCATAGCAGCCCGCCGTAGCAGCCCAGTGTTCCAACTCCACCCTTCATCCGTATGCCACCCTTCACGCTGCCCAGCCCAAGTAGATCGAAACCAAGGGCCCAAAAAAAGAGTCCTCAATGGTAATGACTTGCCTTGTCGATCTTATCTTGTCTATTCCGTTGGGGGTCATGACTATAGGTCTGGTCGATCCCCTATGTTGTATGTTGTGTGCGCCTTTCAATGTCCAAAAAGAACTGCTGGCCCGCTAGTCCAGTCTCACGCCTGTAAGTGTCCAGTGAGCGCCAGTGATGATCGCCAAGATGAGACCTAGCAGAATCAATACGGTCTTGTATAGTATTCAATATGGTCTTTTGAACTCAGAGAAAATTCATCAAGGGGTTGTCTTCTATCCACTGGTTTGGGATTTGGTTTTGGAATGTCTTGGATGTTTTTGGGAATAAAATTGATAAAACTTCCCTTCTTCAATCCGGACCGCACCAGCAGAGCACCCAGCACCCAGCCTGCGAGCAATTCGGACCGCAGCACCTGGAGAGCCCATTGGACCTGTGAGAGACATGGAGAGTTCAAACATGGAGACAAGGAGTGATTTCTTGACACTTGTAGGGAGCGACAGCAGAAGAAAACCTCATCCCCCTTCGTTACACACATGGAACCCAATGAAGAAGCACAACTGGCACAGCACATGATTCTCGTCATGGTTCTACCTGGAGCCGCAGCCACGTTGGCATGGTGTCAAAGTCGACCAACTGATTGTTCCCTTCTTGCTGCCTGGACTCGCACGGCACTGGGCAACTCCCCATCCTCCAGCAGCATCTTTCGATTTGCCTGGAGCTCTTCACCACGAAAAGAACAGCACCGAGTTCCCTAGTTCTTTCGAAAAACCGGTGGCATGGTCAACTCTTCAGTCTTGCCGGTTGCAAGCAACACCACCACGGACATCGGACGGGTCGATCGGATCGAGAAAAATCGGAGCCTCGAAGGCTCGGCCGTGCAGGTAAGCGAAGTAAAGCCAGATGGGCAACATCACGGCCTGTGCGCGTGTGTAGAACTCCAGCAGATGCACCAGATGTATCCTGTTACTAGGTTCCAAGGTGACCCCATGGCCCCAGACTCCAAACGTGCTCGGATTTGGGTTCTAAACACTCAATGCGTCGATAAATCGACATGCGCGGGGTGGAGGTCGTGGAGGCCGAGTTAGACACGTCGATTTCCACGTCGATATCCACGTCGTTCGACACGTCGACGAGGCTCGTCCTCGTTTGGAGCCAGGGCACCGCGGAGACACCGCTGACGCGGATCCAGCCATCCCCCGAGTCGAAGTAGATGTGGACGTAGCGCGCCAGCTGCGTCACCAAGGCGCCCACCGCGATCGTCGCCACCAGCCACCAGGGGTTCAAGTGCCCACAGACTGCCAGGCGCTGCTTCTTGGAGAACTTGTCCATCCTGGGCAGGAGAAGCCAATCATCAATGATTACCAATGTGCAAAGCCATGGCGAATTCTTGAGCATCCATCAAAAACATGAAATCTATGGTATCATCCTTATAGTAGTAACAAGTGACAAGTGCATCGTAGCCTAAGAAGTCTATTTGGTGTGAGGAGTACAGCAAGAGTCCCACAGGCACCCCGCTCACGCTCACGCTCAGCCCTTGTGTGCCGTGTTTCTTCTTGGTACGTCGCAGGACCAAAGCCGCAATCCAAACAAAGCACAGTGCACTCAGGAATTTGCCAAGCGCTGCCAAGTACTTGTTGGCTTTGTTCTCAGCTTGCACTATGTGAGGACGTCAGCACATCTTGCACATTCATGACAAATACAAATGTGACCAATTCCCTTCTGTAGTTGATCAACCGCCCAGCAATTACCCTGCACTCCCAAAAATTGACCAGTATCCACAAAGACCATATCATCCCCCTTCATCTTGCCGCACCAATCGCTGAAATCTTCCAATGTCCACACCACAAAGCAAAACCAGTTCGTGGCGATGCAGTAGACCTCAAAAAATGTCTTGCGCTGGTCGCAGCAGCAAAAGAAAGGTCGGTGTGAGTTCCAATAAACCAAGCACCTCTACTGTGTCTGATTGAAAGAGCAAATGTTTATGTCCAAATGCTGGATTCAAACGCAGCTTCGACTGCGCGTCTGACAGCTCGATTGGGTTGGTACAGATTTTGGGTAGAAGAAAAAAGAGCATCAGGATGTCTAAATTTCTAAATGACGTCCAGCATCCGACGACTTCCAATCCCAGCCACCGTGTTTCTTGCGTAGGAGGAGGGGTTTTGAAGCGCAAGACGGCCAGAATCAAAGCAGGAGCAGTTCCAAGCAGCGTCAAGACATCCCCTGTCAGAGTTGGTGTTGTACGACTCAAACAACAGCAAGTTCTCTGCAACAATTGAAACGTTCCAAGAGTAACAGCCGCAATACCAACCCTGCCACAACCCTTCTGCCTGCAAATTCAAACCTCGGCCCACATTCATAGCCACCCTGGCAGGCACTCGTGGCAGCTGTAAACTTTAGCCAACCTATGTTTTTCAACCAAACTTCCCTCCAGTCAGACAATGCCGCAGCATTCTGCCTTATGCGTCCTATTGCATCAACCACTACCACGAAAGTATCGTGGTCGCTTCCCTACATGATCTACCCATCATTGCGAAAGCTAGCTCGCAGCCTCCATCACCTCGCCCGCCAGCCAACGTCGCCAGTAGGCACCACAGGTTGCAGTTGCTGGCAGAAACTTCATGTGGAAGGGGTAGGTGACCACCTGAGACGGCAGTATCAGGCTCCAGACTGAAAAACCTGCCCCAAAACTCAGTGGTGCCATCGAACAGCGAATGCAATCCTTGCGGACGAGACACAAAAAGGGTCACCACTGCAACCACAATGGCAACAAAATGTCCTCGGTTGCAAACTCCAAGAGCTGAAAGTTCCACCTCTCATGAAGATGTGTTCTTCTTTGTTCGAACCTCGCAAGGCCAAGGATCTCAGCCATCGCTCGGGCGCTGCCCTTCGCGCCTCGAGTCGCTTCGGGCCGTTGTCTGACGCCAGGTAAAAAAGAATGATCGAGAAAGACAACTTAAGGTCCACAAATAGAAGATCCCAAAACTCACAGCAGCTTCATCCTCCAGATTCTTCTGGTCGATGTTTTTAGTGTAAAGAACACCAGGCCTTTGGCACCAGCGTCACCGCGATCAGCAGCCCGGTCAAGGTGCCTGAGGTGGACTCTGGTCGACCCTCTAAGGTTGAATAGATTGATCTTTACAAGCATGGATTGGCAGCTACTAGGAGCTCCTGGCATCGCTACTAGGAGCAAGGACACAACTAGGAGCAATGTTCGCTACTAGGAACAAAGGGCATCGCTACTAGGAGCAAGGACACTACCAGGGGCTCCTGGCCTTACTACTAGGAGCAAGAAGCTACTAGGAATGCAAGCATGGATTGGCTGTCACAAGTGCTACAGATTGGCCTTCAGCCGCTGGTTTGACTGGCTTTCCATTGAATTCGAGCGTTCCTGCACTGTGCTGCATGGAGAGACCGGCCAATCAATCATTCATATTGATGACATCATCTTTAAAGGGTCCTGGAAAGGTTGCCAGCACCACCATAGCTGCGAGGATCATGAGGATTGCTGCGCTCCTGAAGCTCCATGGACATCCGGAACAAGATGGGATGGGAGAGTTTCTTGGGGATTCCTCAGACGTTGAGCAGTGCAGTTGGCAGTCGGCGAAAAAAATAAGAAAAAAAAACGTGTCACATCGTTTGATTGGAAAGGAAGAAGTCGTGCTGAGCTTCAGACTGCACCACTCGGGCGCGCTGCATGCGGCTTGATCGAGGCCATTCCGACTGCATGCTTTGAATTGAATGGATGGACCTTCAGTGGACGTCGCACTACTGCTCCCGTAGATTCGTTCAACACATCCATTGCTGGTGGTTCTTCTACATCCTCCTTAAGACTTACTTCTTCCCAATGTTTGCTCTTTTGAGCCAGCCTGCAAGAATCTGCGGGATTCCCCGGCAGTGTGACACACGAACCCACACAGCCGCCCAAAAGCGGCAGCTCACCCGGTGCTGGCGGTCCTCAGAGGCGCACTGCAAGCGGTCCAGGCTTGAAAGCCATCCATCACCCAAGCCCTCCTTCACGGCCTGAAGCGTCAATCACCCTGTGAACGAGACGTGAGCGAGGGGGCCAGCGATGGGTCTACGACTCGGGGTGAAAGCAGGAAGAACCAACCGAAACCGGAATCGTCGGATATAGGTCTGTGAGACCGGGAGACGAAGAGGGACAACTCCCCCTGGGACAATATGGCCACAACCACATCAATGGATGGCTAAGCAAACTCCGAAACTAACCGGACATCAATGGATGGTCCCTCTTGATGTCAACCAAATGATTTTCATCGGCGAAGAAACACAATTCCCCCGTGCCTGGACGGACTGCTGATCCGTCGTTCGAATTCCCAAAGGCGGCTTGCGAATCTCAACACCTGAGGTGATTCAGACCGGCGTGGAGGTGAACAACGAGCATGCAGCTGATCAAACAGCTGATCAAAAAGGCGCAAACAAAGCATTCGATGATGCAAACAAGACGTCACCTTCCAGCAAGTGAAGTGCAAATGACCATTCATCTGATTCACATGAGTGGTGTTCAATATTCATGGCACGGCGTGGCTTCTTGATTGTCTTTGGGGCCGAAGCTTTGATTATCCTTGGAAAGCTGGAGCTGCAAAAGCGCATTCTCCTTGCAACAGGTTCACGGAAGTCCAATCCCACAAAAGCTATGGCTGTCGCTCTAACGTGTTAGAGAACCCAGGTATTTACCCCGGGGGGTAGAGTGGCGCGGCCGACCTTAGCTCTGCCTTTTCTCAAGAAGTCCCGCCGCGGCTGCGGCAAGTCAGACAGCCATGTCAACTCATGACAAGTGTCAGTGACACTTTACACTGGTGAAAAAGAGGGAGCTTCAACCTCAGGCCAACTTAATGGCCACAACTCTTGCAAAGTCGCCATCTCTGGCGGTCATCACGAATGTGCCCGCAGTCCACGCGCATGTGGAAGCACGAGCCGGTAGGTGTCGTAAACACCTCATGAGGCATGCCTGAGAACATGCTCATGCCATTCTCCTTCTTCTCATTTCTGGATGATGCCCATCAGGTAGGACGCCTTATTCTCCAGCTCCTTCACCTGCGTCTTCAGCTTGTCGTTCTTCGCCCACAGGTCGTTGACGATGTTGCCCATCACATCCTCATCTTCTCCATGGGTGATGGGTTCCAGCTCACGTACTGGCTCCTCCTCCGTATCGGAGTCACTGCCCTTCTTCTTGAGGATCTTGTAGCTCAAGCTGTAGATCATCCATCCCATAGTGAGGACGCCGATCAAGATGGTGATGATCATCGCCATGTCAAACAGCACCATGTTGTTGGCGCCCTCCGTCATCTTGGTCTCATTGACCTCTCCACTTGCCGTTGTCACTCCGGTCGTCATGACCATTCCAATCACCTTGGATGCAGGCATCTGGGTTTCCTGCACAGTCTTCCTCCTTTCGGCCTGGCTCTTCTTCTTGGCAGCTTGATAGCTCTCATCAGCTACCAGCTGGATATAGTGGCCCTTGTAGCGCTCGAAGAAGGCCTGTCTTGCACTCACTTTTGTCGGGCATCTCCAACTGCAGTTGAGATCTCGAAGGGTGTCCTTGATCACCAGGCCCTCGGTTGCAACTCCCTTGTCGGTTGCTGCTGGATGGTTTCACGATGTACTGCATCGCGCAAAGCTTTGCAGTCTGTCACCATGGCGCTGATGCCAGTCAGGTCATTCTTCACGTTTCGAAGGTCTTGGTCAGGCCTCTTGAGGATCCCCAAAAACGTCTTCGCCACGAGGAGCTTGACATTCTGCTCCTATAGGCTGCTTCTGCAAACTCGCGGCAACTTGAACGATCGCCACGCGATAGTGCTTGCTGGCACCTTGGCTCCATCACGCAAGCTCTTCTCACACGCTATGATGATGAAACCTCCCTGTGAAGCTCCATCTCGCCTCGTCCCAAACCCAGCATCGGCATAGCAGACCAGGGTCATGTTGTCCAGCTCGAAGCCATTCTTCGTCTCTTCATTGGGCTTTGCCAAGAACTTGATGGGGACATCCTTCTGGCTCTTACCAAACCTCAGTCTTGTGGAGCTCCTGGATGTCTTGGACTGTTCCCTTTGACACTGCACCAGCCTGAAGTGAGATCGAAGCTGACAACATTGGAAGCCCCTGAGAGGATGGCCATTGCAGGGCGCCAATCAGAGCCCGATACTTGCTTACTTCACTGGCGCTCATATGATATCTCATCTGCGGTGAGGGGCATAGTTTCCTCATGTACTCGGCATACGAGACCTCGATGCCATAGTCAGTCTTGTAGATCTGGCCTCCACAGTGTTTATGGGCTGCTCCTTCGACAGTTTCTCCCACTTCCCAAACCGTCTGGAGGTTCTTGATGGCAGTCGTGTACTTGGCATTGTGGACATCGCCTGTGATCAAGATGTCGTCGACATGGATCACCAGCATTCCTTGAGGGTCTCTTTGCCGTCCACCGTGTCCGTGAGCATGAAGCAGCATTGGTCCAACGGATGCACCTTCCAATTTCTTGATGTCAGTCGGGAGAGAGCTTCCTTCTACCACATCAAGAAAGCGTCTGCTAACCCGTAGGCTGACTTCTTCAGCTTCATGTACACGTAGCCTTCGGGTCCCACTTGAGCATCACCGATCAAAGGGTTGCAGTCCTTTGTCTCACATCGATGGTCCAGTCAAAGCCACTGCCAGACAAGAAGGCTGCCTTGACATCTCCACACAGGAGCTCCCACTTGTCCCAGCTTGCAACGCTCAGCAAAAACAAGCGGGCCAGGCGGCTTGTCGTAGGCGCTGCTGTCTTGATGTTCAGCAAGTCGGGGTCTTCAAAA